AAGTTTGTATTTTTACTAAACACTATTTTTGTATTTTAGTTGATGTTTAGGGTATTAAATCTGTTGAACCTTTTTCCCAAACAATTCCCCCCACAAAAACACACAATAGTCACTAATCTCGCGCTCGATTTGCTGCCCGCCAACACAACTTTTTTTAACGCTTCTCTTCTCCCCTCAACCTGTCACTGCAACACAGCTACTAAAAAAATTTATTTTTATCTCTTTGTACAAACCCGCCTTAGGGCTCTGGCCGGTTTAACAAGTTCCTCGGGGCTTTTATGTCGCTGCAATCGGTGGGAAAGGAAGAAGCAAACAAACACACATTTTTCATTGAGTTGGGGTTGAATGATTTGTTTTTTTGTTTTTTTCTATACTCAATCTTATTTTAAATTTATTTATTTGTTTTTGAGACAAATATGGGGGAAGTAAGGTCAGTCTGTCTATTAGCTATAAAATTTAAAATATTTATTTACCAAATTTATATTTTTACAATTATAATTAAAATTACAATTTATGCAACATTGTTTATTTACAACTCCAAATTTCCGGAAACCCTCAAGTTTTAAATTTAATACGTGAATTGTAATTACAACTCCAACCTTCCAGGAATATTTTATTTTTACAATTCCAACTTTCCGGAATTATGAAATTACAATTTAGGGGAATTGTAAGATTACAACCTTTCGGAATTTTAATTTTCTATAAGAATATTTACAACTTTCCGGAAAATTGGCGCACACTTAAACTAATTAAAATTACAACTTTCCGGAATTGTAACTTTTTTATATTCCAGTAGTATTTTGTAAAATGTTTAAACTTTCCGGAAAAATTGCAGAATTTTTTGAAAAGCATTTCCAGCCTTTCCGGAAGGTTGGGGAACCTTAGAAGGAGAAAATAGGCAAATCTTTATCAGATTTTTAATTTATTTAAAATTTTCTCCTTAAGGGCGCGTTAAAAATTTATTTTTTATTATTCAAACATGAACAAAAAAATCCATAAAAATTAACAAAAATCCCTACTATTGTCCGAAAAAAAAGTTGAAGTGGACAACAACAACTATAAACTAGCCACCTGACTCGCAACTACAATGAAAAAAAATATTTAGTAAAAAGTACAAGAAAAAAAGGTGAAATGATCCCCTTTGATTTGTCCGATCCATTCACTTTCTCTCCCTCTCTTTTTTTAATTTTACTGACTGACCTTTACCTTTCAATTTTTTGTACTTATTGAGTGGGCAAAAAAAGAGACTCTAAAATAAATAAAACTTTGTTTTTACCTTAAAATTAAATTTTCCGGAAAATTAAAATACTTCCGGAAAGGTTGGAAATGTTTTTAATAAAATTATAGACATTTTCCGGAAAGTTGTAAACTTATTTCAGAAAATTACAATTCCGGAAAAGTTGTAATTTTAAAATTCCGGAAGGTTGTAAATATTTTACAAAATACCTTCCGGAATATTTAAATAAAATTACAATTCCGGAAAGTTGTAAAAGTTACCACATATTTTCCGGAAAATATTTTTACAAAAATCTTCCGGAATGTTGTAAATAAAATAGCTTATACTTAAAGTAAATTACAATTCCGGAAGGTTGTAATTTTAATTAGTTTAAGTGTGCGCCAATTTTCCGGAAGGGCGCAAACTTAATAATTTATAAAATACCTTCCGGAAAGTTGTAAATATTCTTATAGAAAATTAAAATTCCGAAAGGTTGTAATCTTAAAATTCCGGAAAATTTTAATTTTACAATTTCGGAAAGGTTGTAATTTTAATTTTACTTAGTTTAAGTGTGCGCCAACCGGCGCCAATGCACACATACCATAATAAAAGGAAAGTATTGTCTTCAATAACATTCATTGTTTTCTTTATTATTATTACTTTATTTTTTGGATTGATAGAAGCCCAACGGGTTAATGTGACGGTTTGAATAAATTCAAAAAATATTTTTTAATTAAATATTATAGTTATTCACAGAATCACAATGTCCCTTCTGCACTCGGTTGCTTAGGCAAGTTATTGTTTTATTTTTTCCAACTTTATTTAATTGATCCCCTCCTATTTCAACTCTAATTCTCTTAAAATAATTTTTAAAAATTTTTAAAAAAATAAATTTCCTCCTTCGCAGAGAACAAATGTGGCAATTTCACATTAGAAGACCAGGCATAATGAATTTACAAATAATTCCTTTTGGGAAGGGAAATTGTGAATTTACACGAGACAGGCGGTCAGTCAATTAAAAATGTTTTTTGATTAGAAATGCAGTATTTCCACTAATATAATGCCCCTCTCTAATAGTATACCCCTCTCTAATAGTCTGCCCATCTACCTCTCTCTAATAGTATACCCCTCTCTAATAGTATACCCCTCTCTAATAGTATACCCCTCTCTAATAGTATTCCCCTCTCTAATAGTATACCCCTCTCTAATAGTATACCCCTCTCTAATAGTATTCCCCTCTCTAATAGTATACCCCTCTCTAATAGAATTCCCCTCTCTAATAGTATACCCCTCCCTAATAGTATGCCCCTCTCTAATAGTGTGACCCTCTCTAATAGAATTCCCCTCTCTAATAGTATACCTCTTTGGAAGGTGATTGAAAAATAGAATGCCCAGGCATTTAATTAAAGCAAATACGGTAATCTCTCCTTCCAGCTTAATTTGTAAATGTATGCATGGCCCAACAGAATGTGATTTAAATAGACTACAAAATTGTGCAATTTCTTATTTCCCCAAAAGACACATTGGTCTAGTTATTTGTATCCAAGGATTGAAAAATTTGGAGGAAGCTTACCAACGTTGTCTTTCTCGCCTTTCTCCCCGCACCCAGTTTAGACTGAAACAGTGTGCGCAAACACAAACGGGAGAGGTTTGTAAACTTGAATTTATTTTGTAAAAACTTTTTTTCAGGTTTTAAATTATTATTCTATGTTGAATACACATAGGTAAGTTTAATTAAACTTTAAAACTTTAATTAATTAAACTTTCCGGAAGCATATTAAAATAAAAACACAAAACTTTAATTAATCCAACTTGAACATTCCAACCTTCAGGAAAATAAAATTAATTACAACTTTCCGGAAAACTTAAAAACAAGTTGTGAATATATTTAGAAAATACAACTTTCCGGAAAAATAAAATTATAATATAATTTTCCGGAAATATAATATAACTTTACGGAATTAATTTTTCTCAACTTTCCGTAAGGATTATATTAAAAAAAATATACCTATGTATTTTCCGGAAATATTTGTGTTTTCCGGAAAAATAATATATTTGTGTTTTCGGTAAATTCCAAAACACCTACCAACTTCTGAATTAAAAAATTAAATTAATTTTTAATAATTTTATTAACAGAGCGGGTATAAGAATTTGGCCAACGGCTTATATTAATGGATATTTTTTCGATCGAAGCTATCCTATGGAGGTGTGAAATTTTTTCAATTAAATATTTAAAATAATTTTTTCAGACAAAAATATGCGAACACACAGATTGGTGCTAAAAAACTTGTTTTTTTTATTGTCAGGATTTTCCCTCAATTTTTATGTATAATTTAAAAGCATTAATTTTGTACGCAATATATTTTTATTTGTATTTTGTTGTATGTTATTGTGCAATTAATAAATGTGATCAAGTTTTAAAAAAATACATTTGTATTTTTTCAAGTTTATTTTTATTATAAAACTTTTCCAACTTTCCGGAAGCAAAACACAAGGAGTCTATTTAATAAAATACTTAAAACTTTCCGGAAAAACTTTCCGGAAACTAAACAAATATTTTAAGTTTTCCGGAAATTTTAATTACAAATTGTAAAAATAATTAAAAATACAACTTTCCGGAAAATAATTACAAATTGTAAAAATTAATTACAAATTGTAATTACCTTAATTATTTTAAACTTTCCCAAGTAACTTCCTCAAGTTATATTTTTTCTTATATTTTTTATTACGCCATACTTACATATTTAATTATTAAATAAAATTACTAGCAATTATTGTCCAAATCATCTTCCTAAAAAATATATGAGTGGACTTAGTGCCTCATTTTTGTATAAATTTATTGAAGCAGAATTGCAGCAATTATAGATGGAATGACAAAAAAATAAAGTAAAGAGGCGACTGGATGGATGACCATTCCAATAAAAAATATACTTGAGAAGAACTTTTAGTAGTAAAATATAATTAACGCCTAGTAATTATTAGTTTCTGCTTCTCAAGTTGCTAACATAAAGTTAAAGCAAAGGATGTTTTATTAATACAAACTTTCCGGAAAAATATTTGCAATCCGGAAAATAATTTATTTAATATAAAGATTTCAAAACCTTACGGAAAAATAAAATACAAAGGGAAAATTTCCGGAAAAATTACAATCCGGAAAATATATTTCTTTAACATGAACATTTAAAATACTTTCTGGAAAAATAAAATTACAATCCGTAATTATATAACAAAACACAAGGAGAGTATTTAATAAAATACTTAAAACTTTCCGGAAACTAAACAAATAATTTAAGTTTTCCGGAAATTTTAATTACAATTTGTAAAATAATTGAAAATACAACTTTCCGGAAAATAATTATTTTTACAAATTGTAATTATTTTACAAATACTAATAATTATTTTACGGATTGTAATTTGTTTTCCGGAAAGTTTTCGAAATTGTTATTTTAGATTATTTTTTCAACTTTCCGGAAAATAATTACAATTTGTAAAAATTATTTTTACAAATTGTAATTTATCTTATTGTGACAATATAAATTATATAATTTTCACAATTCAATCTTTCCGGAAAAATTACAATCCGGAAAAATAATTAGTATTTTACCTATAATACTTACAATTTCCAAGTTGCAACAAATGAAGCGCCTATTATTACTTGCCTTGAAATTCTTAATTATTATCTTCACCTATTTCCACACAACAAACGCTGTCAGTATTTTACAAAATAAATTTAAAAAAATTTTAAAATTAATTTTAAATTTAAATTAATTTTATTCCCTCTCAACTTTCAAGTGTCTCGCAACCGGTATTTGTTGCTGTGGGATTACTTGTATGCCTGCCCCCGCTATGGTGTGTAATCCAGCGAGTTGTCAACCTGGCTACACTTGCGGTTTCTAGAGGCAGAATAAATTTTCTAATTTTATTTAAAGGACATTATGGGTGTGCAAGGAATAAAGCAAGATCTGCACTTACCAAAAAGGTAAAAATTGGAAAGATTTTAAAGTACTTGTGTTGTTTCCCTCCCCTATGTCGTTTCCCTCCCCCGCCCAGTTTTCTTCGCTTAATTTCCCTATACTGACTTGAATCCCTCATCCTTCTCTTGCAAGGAAAATGAGGTGAATTTGTGGAAGGAAAAAATTCTGGCCATTATATCCATTCAAAAATGAGTGTAGGGGAGGGAAACTACATAAGTACAGAATTTTGTAAAATTAAAAAAAAAATTTTTTAGGACGGATTAATTGTCTCAGTAGACGAATACGTTAACAAAACATTGTTAAATCCAAAAAGAATTATTTTCGATAAAATTAAAGAGAAAAAATATTTTTCTGAAGGAAAACGAGAAGAATACGAATTGGATAAAAATACATTTTTGAAATTAACGGTAGGAAATTTGCGCTAAAAATTAAAAAAAATTTTTTTTTAATTTTTTTGAGAACCCAAACTTTTTGTTTCGTCAATGTTGTGAAGGTAAAAGAAATTAGAAATAATTTTAAAAAATTAAAAAATATTTTAAAGACCGAAAATTGCCTGATGTCTGTCTCCGGAAATGTCATTTTAATACTTATACAAAAGAGACGGCAAGTTTAATTTATTTATTATAAGGGGAGTACGCAATAGTTTTTATAAACACACTTGGTTTACGGAAAGTTTTAAAAATACAAATAAAAAAGTTGGAATATATTTATACTTTCCGGAAAGGAATTGTAAAACAATTGGTAAAAAATTTTATTTTCCGGAAAACTTTAATTTAAAACTTTAATTCCGGAAAACTTTAATTATTCCAGCCTTCCGGAAAACAAAGTTTAAAATCTTAAGTTTTTTACAATCCGGAAAGTTTTAAACATATTTATTTATTTATAAAACTACAAATTGTAAAAACATTTAAACCTTCCGGAAAACTTTAATTTTACAAAACTTTTTACAAGTTTAGAATAATTAAAACTTTCCGGAAATTGTAAAACATTGCTTCCGGAAAGTTTTGAAAATACTCGTATAAGTTGGAACAATATTTATTAAAATATTATATTTTCCGGAAACATTTATTTTTACAATCCGGAAAGTTGGAACATTTTTCTTTATTTATTAAAACTACAAATTGTAAAAACATTTGTAAAAATCATTCCAACTTTCCGGAAAACAAAGTTTACAATCTTAAAGTTTTTTTAAACAATATTTTAGTTACAACAAATGTATTTTAAAAGAGATCCTTGCCCAATAGGAGCGGCGGTTGGAAATTAATTAATTATTTAATTTTAAAATTAATTTATTTATAGACTGATATTCAATACTGCGCAGGTATTTTATTTTATTAAAGATTTAAGTAAATTTACCGGAATTTTCCATAATTATTAATCAGAGTCTTATCTACTTTCTCAACGATTAAAATTTTTAGTCTAACGATTTTTAGCCAAGATATGGATTTTTTAAAAAACCAGTTAAAAATTTATAAAATTTTATAACTTATATTTTTATTCATTTCCACAGCACAAGGGAGAGACCATAGTAGATGTTGTGCTAAAGTTGGGATTGCTTCTACTTTGGCTGGAAATAAATGTAAGGGGGAAAGGAAGTTTTTAATAGAAAGGGGGAAACAAACTTAGATTCTGACATTTCTAAAAAATTAGATTTTAAAATGAGGGCAGAATTGGGAAAATATATGTGAAATTCAGGGTATAGCCATTATAGTGAGTAGTCCGGAAAGTAAATTATAAAATAAACCGGAAAATAAATTGTAATTCGGAAAAATAATAAATTGTAAAATAAAAAAAGACAATTCGGAAAACTTTCCTGAAAAATACAATCCGGAAAAATAATTGTAAAATAAAATAAACAATCCGGAAAAACTTTTCCTGAAAAATACAATCCGGAAAATTGGTAAATTGTAAAATAAAATAAACAATCCGGAAAAACTTTTCCTGAAAAATACAATCCGGAAAATTGGTAAATTGTAAAATAAAATAAACAATCCGGAAAAACTTTTCCTGAAAATACAAAATTGCAATCCGGAAAATACTTGCTATCGAATTGTAATAATATAAATTATATATACTTTTCCGGAAAAATAAATTACAATTTGTATTATTGTAATAACATAATTTTTACAATTCAATCCTTCCGGAAAAATAAAGATAAAACCTCCCTATTTAAATTTAATTTATTTTCCGGATTGTAATTTTCTCTAATCTCTTCTACTTAAAGGTTTAACCTTCTGTGACCAAAGAGCTGGAAAAGTAACCAAATTAGACTTTTCATATCTTCCGTGTTATGACCACTTTGAAAGTATGAAAAGATGTTTTTATAATGAAATAAGAATGCATATGGAAACTATATTACTTCCAAAATTGGAAAAAGTATCAAGAATTAAAATTGAAGAATAAATTAAATTTTTTTACAATTTTTACGATAAATTTATTAAAATTTTTGTGTGTACAATTTTTGGAAAAAATTAAGTGGAAAATTTTTTTTAATGATTTTTACAAGAAAAAAAAATTTTTAAAAGTGTGCGCCGCAGTGATGGATAAGGTTACCCGATTTATACCTATCAAGACGTTTTTGACTCAATATCCGAAAACCAATCCGAAGAAAATTTTAAAACCCCGATACGAAGAAATGGAGTTTAATTTTTCTCTTTAATAAATACAAGTATCAAAGCGGTCTAATTTTGAAGCCCCCTAAAACTTTTAAAAATTGGGGGGGGGGGGGGGGGGGGGGGGGGGACGGTCGAAAAAGAAAAAAAAAAACTAGCAATAGGAAATCGACCCTGCTCTACACGATGGTGCAAAAAAATTTTAATCAATTTTCGCAAACAGTTAGGAATATTCCCTTGTTAATACAAACCATCCCTGGTATATTAAGCAAAAAAGTTATACTAAAAGCGATATCCTTAATTTAAGATATGCCTCATTATAAGAGATTTAAAGGCCACAAGAAAAAAAAATTTTTTTGACTAAAACTAAGCACACACTCAAAAAAAATTTTTTTTCGACAAAAAATAAAATTTATATGTTTTACCAAAACAATTTTTTACCCAAAAATTTCTTTAAAATTCACTTAAAAATATATTTTTCTTTAATTATTTAATTACTTGTACGCCTTTGCTGTCTTTGTAAAGCATTTGAACGGCTAAAATAAAAATAAAGTCCACAAGTTGAAGTGAGCATTGAAAGGAAGAAAATTGAACGACGATCAGTAAATTGTGGATATACTAGAACAAATGACCAAAGTAGAAGAAATTTAACTGGAAAATTGAAAAAAACGTAGTCCTTTTAAATTTTAATTAGCAAAATTTTGGGGGAAAAATCATAAAATTGGTCCATGAAACATTTTTAAAAAATAATTTCTTTTTTTTTGGAGTGGGAAGGGGGTGGGAAGCACCTCAAAAAAGAGGCAAAAATGGGTTAGCATATTTTTCACTAGTCTTAACTAAATTAAGCAAATAAGGGCCAGATTTCTTCCATTTCAGCGCAGCAGGGAAAAATTATGAGAAATGTCAAAAAAAAGTGGCAAAAAGGGGGCGAGAAGGTCGAAAAAAGTGGAAAATGCCCCTAAAAAGAGGTAAAATGGACACCCTATTTATGCCATAAAGAAAGGATGAATTTTGGCAAGGCAAGAAGCCAAGAAAAAAAAATTTTTTAACCCCCAAATTTTGTTCACAAAAACAACAAAAACAAACCAAAAACAATTAAAGCCATCAAATTTCCAATATTATAACGTGTATCATCTAAATTTCTATTATTTTGTTGTTGTTGTTGATTAGCTCCTCCTCCTTGACGACCAGCAACAAAAGCTGGACCAACCAAAATATCTAGAAATACACTCAAAAAACGTCTAATTCTTTGACGGAAATAAAATAAAAATGTTGATAATGTTCCTGTTGGGGTAGCTTAAAAAAATAAAAAAAAATTTATTAAGTGAGAAATGTTGTTAAATCAAAGTTGGTGCTATCCATCAATTATGGGAGGTATTTTTTTAATAAAACTACTGGATTTGCATTGAATTTTTAGGCTAACACAAGGGAACCCTTCGGACTGTAAGTAAAAATTTTTCAAATTCCTATACCATCGAAACCTATACGATGGTCGATATAACTATTGCCAATTCTTGGGTTTTTTTTTTGCTCCGACCTCCAAATCAAAAAGTTTAATGTTATAAAGTTTCCGTATTTTAGAGCAGTCGAACCTACCTCATTTTTATTATTTTTCCTTAAAAAACTAGAAACAACCAAAATCTGTTAATTAACAGGTACGGAACAACCCTAATTTTCCCCAAAAATTTTTTTTATTAATGTCCTAGACAATGTAATTAACCAAAAGGGGTGAAAAAGGGGAGTTGAAAGAGTTGCCTCAAAAAAGGGAAATATCCTCACAGATTCAAAAAAAATTCAGAAAAAAAAACCTTCTTCCTCCTCTTGTCTATTAGCCCATTCCCAAACAATTCTAACCAAATTCCAAGCATAAGAAAATACAAAATTGAATAAAATTAACCAAAAACCAGTTTCAACCATTCGAGGTCCTGTACCCAAAATACCTGGAGAAGTTGATGAAGCTTTAAAAAAAGAAAAAATTTTACCAAAATTTTTGCGAAGAATTAAAATTAATAAAATTATTCCCCAAAAATTAATTTTAATTTATTTAGAAAGTTTTTTGAAAAAAAAGTTTTGTTCGCAAATTTAATTTTTGAATCTTTCCCAAAAAAAAAGTGAATACAAAAATTCAAAATCGAACGGTCCAGTATAGGGTTGTTGGTTTTAAAGCGAACCTAAGATTTTTGGTTCGCTTTGTCGGTTCGGTTTCGGTTAATCGATGAATCTGGTGAAATTGAAACCCCCAGTTCAGCATTGATCCGCCACAACTAGGCCCGTATTCAATCTTCAAGATGGGACGCTTATTTACCGAATTTCACAAAATTTGTAATTAAAATCAAACCTCCTCCACCACCTCCATTTTGTGCTCCATTTTCCCCAGTTCTATTATTATTCTCATTTCCTCCACCACCACCAACATTATTTGTACTATAAGGCCTAGTACCTACATGACAATGCAAAACACATTGGTCAGTTAACCCATAATATTCCAAAGTTGAAGAATCATCTCGTAATAAACGTCCTTGATAAATTAAACGAATAATTTTTCCTTCTTTTAATTCTTCAGAAAAGTGAAGTCTGTTGAATAGAAAAAAATTTTTTTTTGAAAAATTTCAAAAAAAATTTCAAAAAAATTTTTTTGGTAAATTGAAGCGGAAAGACCCCCTCTTTTCCTCCCCAATTCCCCCCTATATTTTTGCAGAATGGTCAGACTTTTTTCCTTTCTTCCATCCAAATTTTTTGGAGAGGAAAAAAGGGGTCTGTCCAGTTCACCTTACCAAAAATTTTTTGGAACATTTTTTTGAAAATTGTCAAAAAAATTTTTTTAAGTTAAAAAAAACCTTTTAAAATTCCCAATAGTTACATTTTTGTTTGCTTGGACTATTTTTAAAGAATCATCCAAAAATTTAATTCGAATACAAATTGAATCGACAGACAAATTTGTCAAAGTATTGATATCTTAAAAAAATATAGAATGCATTTTAAAAAGTTTATTTGTTACTAGACAAAATTAAAAATGTTCAAGAAATCGATTTCAAGCAAAAAGACGCTGAAAGGATTCGAACCCTTGGGTTACCTAATCAAATCGGGGGATTAAACCATTACACCACAGATGAACACACCCAAATTTGTGATTTAAATGAGTTAAATAGAGAAAAGGAAATATCGGTGAATGGACAAAAAGAACAAGACAAAAGAATGGACCAAAAATTCATCAAAAAACTTAATTTTCTAAAATATTCTAAAAAATTCCCCAAAAGAAAAAATTTTTTTTAAACATTAAAAAAAATTCCCCTAACAAAAAATTCTTTAGAAAAAAATTAAATTAACCTCTATCTCCACTATTTTCTTCATTTTGTGAATTGTTAACAGCGTCAGAAGCAGAAAACGTCTAAATTTTAAATTAAAAAAATATTCATTAACCAGTAAAAAACCTGTCCCTCTTGTTCACCAGAAAATTGAGAATTCATTGAAGAAAATGAATTATGGTTTAAAATAGCAGACAAAAGTTGAGGGGAAATATTTCTAAAATAAATTTTAGATTAAAATAAAAACACTTTACTGCAAGATAAAGCCCTAATATTAAATACTCGGACGTGACAAAACCACAAATTCGGGATCCTGTAAGGGATTGGATTTCAGAAAAAACGGAAATCCCCAAAATCTTGTGTCGCCAAAAATGACGGGATTTAGACAGGATCCCGAATTTGTGATTTCTCCCTACCATTTAAAGAACCCAACGCTTCCTGACCATTATGAGACCAATGTATTTTATTCTCTATTTTCTATTAATCATAATTATGTAATCATTCTTTACTTCTTACTAACATTTATTTTTCACAAATCTGATGTGAGACAATTGAAATTTGGTGTCAAAAAATATAGTCCCAAAATGGTCAGAGAACGACAGTGTACTATAAAAAATAAACCGTGTAGAAGAAGGCGCTTGAACAACAAAAAATCGATTTACAACGTCACTGGATTGATCAGAACTTTCCTCTGAAGCTAAAGATGCTGGAGTGTTGGGAGTAGAGGAAGAAGCTGTAGAATCAGTTGCGTTGAGGATGTCGAGGTCGGCAATTGGAATTATCTGAAAAATTGGGTAGGGACTCACCAAAATGAAAAAAAAGTTGGGATTAGAGACCGGATCGAGAGCAGATCTCAAACAAAAATCGCGATTATAGAGCTCAATTCTCGCACGACTATTCCCGTTGGATCTCTAGTTGGGATCCCAAGAACCTTATAAATCGTCTTTAAAGGAATAGACCCTCATGGAAAATCTCCTAAAATCTCCTGCTACATGCCTGAGGATTCTTACAAAATTAAAAGACACATAGCCAGGAGGAAAGGGGATAACCTTATGTTTTACAAAAAAATGTGGACAGTTAACGAAAAAGTACCCATTAAAATTCCAGAATGTTGTGACTTATAGGGGGTTTTTTTTGGCTGGAACGATTTGAACAAATGAGGTGTCAGGGTCTGTATCTCGGTCCATGATTGTCAGATCGACTCCTCTGCCCCCGCGATCGACTCAGCTCGGCGAGCTCTTTCGAATGACACCTCATTTGTCCAAATCGGTTCAGCCAAAAAAAACCCCTATAAGTCACAAACCCAAATTCCAATAGACTCATAAGGTTTAAAAAAAATTTTAAAAAATACCACAGCAGAGCGACGCCTTCTTAATTGAACAACCCAATAATTAAACTGCAAATAATCCGAAGACAATGAAGTGCTCTCCCAAATACAAAAGCTAACAATTGTAAAGATGAGTGAAAGTAGACAATTTGGCTGAAATTGAAACAAAAAAATTAAATTTAAAGTCTCCGGGTGGATTTTATTTAGGGGCAAATTAAAGCTTGAATTGAAGTTAGCTCATCGAGCTGGGTCAAACGACACAAAAAATAAACCATAGAACCAATTAAGGACTAGACCACAGAACATCCAGAGAAAGACGAGCTTTTTGAACCCTTGACAAGCTTGTTGGATTAGCCAAGCTCGTTCAATCTGAGGAAGACGAGCTTTTTGAACCCTCGACGAGCTTGTTGAATTAGCCAAGCTCTTTCGAACTGGGTTAACCAAATGTCCTCCGAGCTCATTCAAAAAATAGAATCCACCACGGAAACTCTAATTTACCCTCTAAATTAAATTAAATTAAAAAAAAACATACAATATATTCAAGTAAAAAATCAAAAATTATATCAACACCAAATAACATAAGTCTAGAAGAGCTGAAAAAATTTTTTTTATTAAACTTATTAATTAAATAAAAGTTCTCATGAATCGGCAAACATGCGAGAAAACCGAACGCGCGAAAAAAATAATAAAATTAATTAAACTTACGACACGTAGAGCTGAAATGACGATGTCTCTATATTCTGCCAAGACCATATTTTGCCAATAAGGCTAAAAATACACGTCTTGCCAATACGTCCTGTTGACAAAACGCGTAATTTTACCCTTATTGGCAAAATATGGAATTGGCATAATATGGTAACGGTAAATGAAAAACTTAACTACAACAGTACTATTTCTCAGAAACTCTAACTGTTTGACATTTTACTAAAAAATTTTAATATACTCTCTAACACTGTTCTTTCTCTTTTTCTACATTAACTCTCAGACAAAACGCTTTGTTACAAAACACCAAAAAGGCGAAAAATGCGACATAATGCCAACTGACAAAATGTCTTTTTCTTTGATTTTTCCCCATTTTAAGCAATTTAGTCTTTGGATTTTGGGGGGGATTTTGATGGTTTATTTTTCATGAATTTAAGCTTAAATTTTCACACAGATTTTGTTATGGAATGTCATCAACTTTTTTTATTTTTATTACTTTTCTTTTGTCATTTTCAATTAATTAAAACTGCCCCCTCTTTCGATGACAACGAATTTGCTGAATTTGAAATTGATGAGGAACCTCAAGTTTCCTTTGCTAATAATGATGTTAAAGAAGAAGAACGAGAAAAAGTGGATGAAGTAAAGGAGGCTAGTAGAGAAGCAGCTAAACAGGTTTTCTTTTGAATTTTAAATCCTTAGGTTGACTCTGAACCGGTGTGTTTGTCCATAAGTTTGCCCAAATAATGAGGGTGTCCTGATTTTTTAATCAAGCTTTGAAATTGCTGATGAACGGTATTATTCTCAGAAACTTGAAAGTTAACTTTAAAAAACTTCAAGTCAGTGCTGTATTTCGGGCACCTTGGCTCCGGCTCCGATTATTTTAAAATCTTAGCTCCCGCTCCGCCGGAGCCAGCTCCGGAGTCATACACAGCACTGCTTCAAGTTCATTTTTTAGTTCATTTCTAGTCAAGTCCTCAGTTCTTTCTAGTCCATTCCCTGTTTTTTTTTTATTCCAAGCTTAAGCCCAGATCTGATCTGGGTCAGTGGGTTATGAAATTTTCAAAAGTCCTCAGTGAACTTTGGTTCAGACATTACCAAATTTTAAACAAGGATTCTGAAAAGATTGGTCCTAAAGTTAAAATTTAAATTTTTAGACAGACACAACCGAAGATTTTTCCTTCCTGGCAGATGAAGACGAATTTGAACAGGCCGAAAAAGATTTGGAAGCAAATCAGGGTGAAGCTGATACTGCTGGGAAACAAAGCGATACTATTAAACCGTTGACTTTTGCTGATGTATTTTTAAAAAAAAAATTAAATTTTCGTAATTTTTTTAATTTTTCAGGTTCCTTCACATTTTCGTTCAAATTGGTCTAGTTATCAAAGTTTGAATCCCTTTAATTTTTTAAATGGATTAATCTTAGAGGTCACACCCTGGAAGTCCATTCCGAATATTCGGGTGGATAAAGAAGGATTTGGGCGATTAGGAAGGTTTATGGGTACTAAGAGGATTAAGAGGATATCGATGGATTTGGACGGATTAAAATTAGGGTTGCGAGTCATATTTTATCGGGCCGGCCCGACCGAGTATTTTTCGGGCCAAAATTCGATGTCCGCTCAATCTTTCGGACCGGACCGGGCCGGCAACCCTAATTAAAATGGATTTGTTTGGATTAAGGAGGAGTCTCGTGCAACTGACAAACAAGGCAAACGCGAGCAGGCTAACCCATTCTTGTTCTTAAATTCCCTTTTATTCACTCAAATATTTTGAATTGATTTTTTGGATCAGTTAACTACTAGGAAGTTGACCTCTAAGGCTGGAGCTTTTTAAAAAATATTTTTTTTTATTTTTTAAATTTTAGTTGAGTCAATAGCTCTTTTTGTAATTATTATTTATGTAATCAATTATTTATATGGAAAAACCAAAAATTATTCTATTGCTTTAAAGGTTTGTTTCCTGAAAAGAAAATATTTTTTAAGCAAATTTTTAGTGGTTTTCCGACAACCGTGAAAAGTTGGAACAACAATTTGCGTTGGTAGGGGATGATGGAACAAGCACAGAAGAAATGGAAGGCCATTTAATCAGAGAAACTGAATTTTCCTATACTGTTTGGAGTACTGGAAGGACTGGTTGTAAAGGAATGCTGACTCAAATTAAGGTTTATAAAACTTGTCGGAGGGATTTTGGATTTTTGGGGAAATCACTGGTTTGGGAGAAAAAAGAGTCGGGTTGGGTTCTGGATGGATCTAAATGTTTGGGTATTGGATTTCAGGTAACCCGTGACATCTCTTTCACAGGGATGTCATTTTTCTCATTTTTGAGAAATTTTTCTCTCTTCTCTCATTTTATGAATTTCATTTCTGGAAATTCTGATTTTCGAATTAAACTATAGATAGTCACCAAATTACTAGATTATCTGATTAAGCCATCTTACTGTTCAATACTACGGATGTGGTGGGTTAGATGAAATCCGGATACTTTTCGGTTCTGCCACACCCCTCCCATATATTCGCAGGTTACCTTTCTTCATATGTAACTTTCTCCTTTGTTCAATTCCCTCAATTTTCCCTGTGGAATGTTCAATGAGCGGCATTAATAAAGAAAAGATTAATTTTTACTCAGTTTTCCCTTCAAACAATTTCTCCTAGAAAGGAGAAAGTCTGACCATTCTGTACGTATGTTGGAAAAATGTAAAATATAACCTGCGAATATATGGGAGGGGTGTGGCAGAACCGAAAAGTACCGAAATCCGTACTCTTCCTCCGACCGAAACACGATCTTGTTTTTTTTCAAACCCGGCATCCCTACTGGGCTTGTTTGCCTATTTTTGCTTTAATTTCAATAAGTTTCATCTTTGGCCGCAAAAATTTTTTCAAAAAAAAAAATCCGCAAATGTATAGTCTTTAATTTTATTTCCCCCCAATTTTTCAGCTTCGTAAAAGACAAGATTTACTCGGTATTTTGCTCAATATAATCAGACCTCAACCTGACAGAGTTGTTCACAAAATAGATATGGACCCAAATGAAATGGATTCTTTTGTTCTTATTTTTGGACAAAGAAAAAGTGTTTTGAGGGCTGTGAAGGAAATGCATGATTTGGTTTATTTTAAATTTTTTAAAAAATTTTTTCAAATTTTCGGAAGATTTTTGAAAAAATTTTAAAAATTTTTTGGAAAATTTTTTAGAAATTTTCCAAAAAAATTTTTTTTTTAAATTTTTTGGAAAAATTCTCAAAAAAAATTTTTTTAATTATTCTAAAAAATAATTTTTTTTCAAGTCAGTTTATGTGACAGAAAAGAAAAATTTTGAGAAATTACAATTGCTCCCTTCTTTTTGTGTTTATGCTGAAGTTGCTGAAATTGTTTGTTTATTTTCTTTATTTTAATTAAACTCTTTCCTTAAAATTTATATTTTCCCTACATTTAGGAAAATAAAATTTAAAAAAAAATATGGAAAACCATAAAATGTATTTTCGAAAATCAGAATTTATTTTCCGGAAACTTTTAGTGTTCAAGTGGAAATAATCCGGAAATACATCTTCTGGTTCTGATTTTATAAAAATACATTTTATTTTTTTCCGGAAAGGTTAGATTGCTGATTTTGCAAAAATCATTGTGTTTTTGTGTTTTCCGGATACTTTTAATTCTGATTTTAAAATTATTTTTCTTTCCGGAAATGTTCTGATTTTCTCTAATAATTATATGTATTTTTCCGGAAACTAATTAAAAAATGTGTTTTTCTGTGTTTTCCGGAAACATTAATTCTGATTTTTTATGTGTTTTCCGATTTTATTTTATATTTTTCCGGAAAAGCTTTAATTTTGTATTTTTTCGTGTTTTCCGGAAGCATTAAATTCTGATTTTTATTTTAATGTGTTTTCTGGTTTATTTTGTATTTTTCCGGAAAAAGTTCAATTTTTAATTTTACATGTATTTTTCCGTATTTTCAGGAAGCATTAATTCTGGGTTTTAAAGTGTTTTCCGGTTTTATTTTGTATTTTTCCGGAAAAAGGTTTTATTTTACAAAAATGTATTTTTCCGTGTTTTCCGGAAGCATTAAATTCTGAAATCTTTTTTTAAATTTCTAATTTTCCCTCTATTTAATTAATTTTTAGGTCCCAGCAATAATAGATTCAACAACCGTTCATTTTCTCAAGCGTTGTGAAAAATATATAGAATATGTCCATATTTCTGACCAATATTCTGGGGCTAAACAACAAGAGTAAATTTTAAAAAATATTTTTTTTTTTAATTATTTTTAGTGGACAAAATTCATCAAAATTACCAGAAACTCACCCTACCCTTATTTTTAGCTTTATTTTAAATTCGGACAATGATGATACTTCAATAGACGAACTTTTGTTAAATTTTACTTTTTATATTTTGGAAAGGGTCAAAAATTATCGATTAAGGTAGTTTTTAAAATTAGTTAAAAATTGATTTTAGAATTAAAAAAAATAATTTTTTTAGTAAGGAAGGAAAAATAAGGGCAGATAGAAAACGACAAAATGTCCAAGAAAATTTTCTTAAAATGACGCATCAACAAAGGCAAGAAGCTGCGCAGGTAAATTGTTTAAGTAGTTTTGTAACAAATTGTGTTTTTCCGGAAAATACTTTTGAAAACACCTCTAATAATAATTTTTCCGGAACATTCTATATTTTCCGGAAACATATATATTTTCCGGAAACTTTTATATATTTTCCGGAAACTTTTATATATTTTCCGGAAACTTTTATATATTTTCCGGAAACTTTTATATATTTTCCGGAAACTTTTATATATTTTCCGGAAACTTTTATATATTTTCCGGAAACTTTTATATATTTTCCGGAAACTTGTAAATATATTCCGGAAACTTTTATATATTTTCCGGAAACTTTTATATATTTTCCGGAAACTTTTATATATTTTCCGGAAACTTTTATATATTTTCCGGAAACTTTTATATATTTTCCGGAAACTTTTATATATTTTCCGGAAACTTTTATATATTTTCCGGAAACTTTTATATATTTTCCGGAAACTTTTATATATTTTCCGGAAACTTTTATATATTTTCCGGAAACTTTTATATATTTTCCGGAAACTTTTATATATTTTCCGGAAACTTTTATATATTTTCCGGAAACTTTTATATATTTTCCGGAAACTTGTAAATATATTCCGGAAACTTTTATATATTTTCCGGAAACTTTTATATATTTTCCGGAAACTTTTATATATTTTCCGGAAACTTTTATATATTTTCCGGAAACTTTTATATATTTTCCGGAAACTTTTATATATTTTCCGGAAACTTTTATATATTTTCCGGAAACTTTTATATATTTTCCGGAAACTTTTATATATTTTCCGGAAACTTTTATATATTTTCCGGAAACTTTTATATATTTTCCGGAAACTTGTAAATATATTCCGGAAACTTTTATATATTTTCCGGAAACTTTTATATATTTTCCGGAAACTTTTATATATTTTCCGGAACATTCTATATTTTCCGGAAACATATATATTTTCCGGAAACTTTTATATATTTTCCGGAAACTTTTATATATTTTCCGGAAACTTTTATATATTTTCCGGAAACTTTTATATATTTTCCGGAAACTTTTATATATTTTCCGGAAACTTTTATATATTTTCCGGAAACTTTTATATATTTTCCGGAAACTTGTAAATATATTCCGGAAACTTTTATATATTTTCCGGAAACTTTTATATATTTTCCGGAAACTTTTATATATTTTCCGGAAACTTTTATATATTTTCCGGAAACTTTTATATATTTTCCGGAAACTTTTATATATTTTCCGGAAACTTTTATATATTTTCCGGAAACTTTTATATATTTTCCGGAAACTTTTATATATTTTCCGGAAACTTTTATGAAGTTCCGGAAGCATATATATTTTCCGGAAATATACTTATTATTAGGGGGCGGATTTTATTGAAATAAAATGTTTTTTTTGCAAATACACTTTGTAGAGAGAAGCCCAAATATGCCATTAGTTTTTCGATATTATGATTTTGAACTAAGTTACATTTCAATATATTTCAATATTTTGCCAATTTTCTTGTTATTTCAATATTTCGAACTTTTTGCAAATTATTTCAATATTTTTGCATATTTTTACCAAAATTGTGGGATTTTTCATAAATTCTATGAAAAAAGTGAAAAAATTTGGCTTCATGACCTTCAAAAATTTTAAAAATTTTTGCCTGCGGCGCTGAAAAGCGCGAATTTTGGCTTATTCTTGCAAAATCGGCCAAAAAATCGCCAAAACAACTATCGCTCAGACTATATTGAAGAGGGCGCCCCCAAAATAGCCCCTGAACAAAATCACACAAAATATTTATCTGAACAAAAATCGCGAAATTTTCCCCCTGAACCAAACCCCACAAAATGTTCAACTGAAAAAAATCTCAAAAATGTTCCATCCCCTAATTTGGCCTATCTAAAAATGCGCAAGAGTAAATTCATCGAAGTCTGCGTTGAAGACGGGATAATTTTTTTCTAAAATGCAACATTTTTTGATTTTTACTAGCGAATAAGCCATAATTTATTTCAATATTTTACTAATTTTTTGCAATTTTTATCAATATTTAGCCAATTTATTTCAATATTTTATGGCCATATTTGGCGAATTTATTTCAATAAAAATCCGCCCCCTACTTATTATAGTCTAATTTTTATTTATATTTAGATTCGAAGAGAGGAGAAAACAAGAGAGCGCAAACAAAAAGTTATGGAAGAGGAAGACCCGGAGAGGCAACGTCGTCTTGAAAAATTGGAACAAAAGCGTGATGCTAAAGCAAAACAGCCTAGAATTAAGCAATTTAAAATTAAATAGAAAGAAAAAAATATTTTTTAAAAATTACTCAATTTATTTTTTTTTGTTATTCTTTAGATTAAAAAAAATCATTTTTTTATTCAGAAAAAATCAGAAAAAAAATTTCAGAATTTTTTTTCAGAAAAAAACGATACTCAACCATGTAGAGGATCCAAATTCACATGTAATTCTAATGTGCGAAGAGGGCATATTTAAAATATGAAGGACAACAACAGCTTAAGATAAAACTGAGGTTGTCGAGGAGGAGTTATATCTAGAGCTTCATAATCCGTTTAGCAAATTCTGGTCTCAAAAATCGCATTTTTAATGTTACTATGTGGAGGAGTCATGCCAAAATTTTTCAAAAATCATTAGTTTATCCTAAAATAAAATCCCCCAGGAAAGTATAGTTTATCCAAAAAATGGAGGGGGGGGGGTGGGGGTTTCCTGATAAACTCTTTCAAAAGATATTTTTGTTAAAAAAATTTTTTTTATAAAAAATAAAAATTTGACAAAATTTCCATTGAAAAAATTCTCGAGTATTTTCCAAAAATTTAAACATCAATAATCACACCCACATCATTTTTTTCTTCAATTGGTTTTGTAAATGTATTGCGCTGTTGAGTAAATTTGTAAAATTCAGATGCCTTCTCTCCCGTCTCAAAAATCAATAAATAACCAATTTTCTGGTAATGTTTCTCCTTAAAAATTGAAAGATAAATTCTGATTGTTTAGAAAAAACACATTAATTGTATTCCGGAAAGATTTAAAAATAAATTTAAAAATACATGTTTCCGGAAGGAGAATTCTGATTTTGTTCGAAAAATACAATTCTGACCTTTTCCGGAAAGAAAGGAATTTTTCTGTATTTTTGGAAAATACAATTCTGATTTAGTAAAATACATTCTGATTTTTCTAAAAAATACAGATAACATTTTCTGATCTTTTCCGAAAAAAAAACACATATTATTCTGTTCCGGAAACATAAAAATACATTTTCTTATTTTTCCGGAGCAGAAAAACACATTTTCTGTCCTTTCCGGAAACAGAAAAACACAGTCTATTCTATTCCGGAAACAAAAATACATTTTCCATCCTTTTCCGGAAACATAAAAACACCCACTCTCTAATCTTTTCCGGAAAATATTTTTCTGTATTTTACGGTAACAATTAACTTAGGTATCTAAACATTAATTCTGATTTTTCCGGAAGTTTACTTATTTGTTAAAATACAGAAAAACACAAAAAATTCTGATTTTTCCGGAAAACAATTTTTCTCTCTCTCAAAACGTCACCAAACCAAAAATATTAAAAAACGTCACAACAACTTACAGTTCCAATCCAAACACAAATATTGGGTTGACTTTCACCTTGTTCTACCATAAATCCATCATTACGTGTTGGAAGAGCATACTTGACAGAATCGTCAGAAGAATCTTTTAAAGTCAAAACCAAGTCTCCATCTGATTTGTGTTTTACCTGGAATTTAAAAAAATTTTTGAAGAAAAAATCAGAATTCTGATTTTTTTTTGTCTCTGAAAAAATTCTGATTTTTTTTAGTTCTGATTTTTTTTTGTTCTGTAATATTCTGGCTTTTTTCTGATTCTGAAAAGTTCTGATTTTTTGAGTTCTGAAATATTCTGATTTTTTTTCTGATTCTGAAAATTTCTGATTTTTTCTTGTTCTGATTTATTTCTGATTCTGAAAAAATTCTGATTTTTCTCAAAAAAATTTTTCTTACCTGTAGTTGGTCAGTTGTGTAAGCATTTGAGGTATTTGTAACGAACCAGCACTTGACAACTTTGCATTCAAACAATTTCTAAAAAATTAAATTTTTAGTGGAATACCCCCAAAAAGCTCTCTTACCTTTCTTTTCAACTTCTCCCCATCCTTTCCAGACTTTTTTACTTTTTTGATTTTAACAACTTTCTTTTTCGCTTCCTTCGTTTCCATTTGACTAAAAATAACTGAAAAAGAGAAAGTCGAAAAATAAATTTAAAAACCGCCGAAAAAAATTTTTTAAAGAAAATTTAAATTAATTTACCATTGTGTATTTACCATTTTCTTTTTTTGGCATTATGCCAAAAAAATTAATTTTTATCGCGGAAAAGCCACTTCAGCACTAACACTACAGTACTACAACTAGAGCGCCAGCCAATTTTGATCGTCTATAACTTTTCTATGCTTGATCCAATCTGAACAAATGAATTTTATACCATTCGAAAGCTATTGATAAGCGGTATATTTTTTCCAAAAGGAGTGTGTCAAGTTTGTTGCCCATTAAAAAGTTATGTCCTAATAAATGTAAAAATCACTAAATATTTGCACTTATCGGATTCATAACTTGTTAAGGGACGATCAGACTTTATCGGTGTAGCTGGATAAAAGATAGCGCTTATCAATAGCTTTCGAATGATATAAGATTTGTTCAGATTGGATGAAGCAACGTAAAGTTATGGCCGTGTAAATTCCGCTAGCATTTACGCACTCAACTGACCCCAATCTTCTTTTTCTTTTTGACATTATGCCAAAATAATTAAAAATAAATTTAATTCAAAAATTACAGGTCGACAACGCTTTTGTCTTTCCAGCCGCAACAATACTATAAAAGCACCTCATTTCCGGAAACTTTAACCGGACACTTCTAACAACTCTACTTGTTCTCTCCATTTCGCGTGCTGTTTTCTCAACTATTTTCCCAGGCTGGTTCTCTTCGATTTTATTGAGCACTTGAAGGATTGGTGGTATTCTGCTGAAACTGGTTAGGATTTTTATCTTCTTATCTTTTTGCTACTTGTGTAGTTTACCTCCCAAAAGGCCTGCTCCTTTAATTTCTGTCTTTGTTTTCTTTGAAGTGGCATCTGGGGAAGGAGTGGGCTCATGGGGGGTAAACTGCACAAGTACCCTTTTTCATTTTTTACAGCTTCTAGTTCCGATCCGGACTGTTCAACAATGCTGTCTCCTTCGTTTGAATGCGTCTCAGTCAACACCCAGCCAACAGAAAGGGCAAATTCAACCTACATTCAACCTCAACCAACAGAGCGTGTGTCAGAATATGTTATTGGTGGTGAATCCAACGCTGTGAGGGAGTATGAGGTGTCCGAGTATGTGGTGGGACAAGCTGGGAATACTGCAAATAACGACAACACAAGGACGGCAACAACAGCAGTCACAGAAAGCACAACAGCAGTCACAACAACAACAGCGGTAGCTGTAGCTACTCCAGCGCCTTCAACCAACAAGCCTTCAACAAGGTGTGTGGTTTTTCTTTTTCTTTTAAGGGGTCTTTTCCTTTGTGTTTTCGAAAGTCCGCAACTTCCAAATAAAAATCCGCAAAAGTTGTCCGCAAGTCACAAATATAAATCCGCAAAAATTGTCTGCAAGTCCCAAATTGTCCGCAAAAGTTGTCCGCAAGTTCATTTTTTCCTTTTTAAGTAATGCAACAACTTCGAGCAGTACCACACCTGGACATCGATCAACTCCGCCACATCCTCCACCACCTCCTGATAACCATTCTCATCATCATCGTTCAAGATCAACAGGAGCTCCTCATCCTCATGAATCAGCAGGAAGCTCGACAGTTGTGCCGCCTCCAGAATTTTTGATGCTGCGTTGTTACTCCATGGAAAAACACCCAAAATTGAGTCGTTCTGCAATTCGGGATGCTGTATATAGTGGAAAGGTAAGAAATTTTGAGTTTCGAAAATTTTTTACGAAATTTCGAGTTTCGAAAATTTTTTACGAAATTTCGAGTTTCGAAAATTTTTTACAAAATTTCGAGTTTCGAAAATTTGACGAAATTTCGGGCAATCCCGGAGAATCGTGGTCCCTGCGGAAAAAATTCTTAAAAATAAGAAAAAGGATTTTTCTAGGGTAAAAAAATATGCTAATTACGAATCTGAACTCAGATTTTCAAAAAGTCGAATCCCGAACCCGGACCGAATTTCGAACCCTGAACCCGAATTTCGAATATGCAAGTAATAGCTCGTTCGAAAGAGCTCGTTGAGCTGTATCGAATGACACCAAAATCAACGCGATCAGACCAGTTTCGACAAAGTTATGACATAAAGTAAACCTATGGGAGTACTGTAGGAGTCGGCGACTTATGTGATAACTTTGTCAAAACTTGATCAATCACTGTAATTTTGATGTCATTCGACTCATCTCGACGGGCTCTTTCGAATGAGGTATCATTTGTATAAACTTTTTTTTTACTCCAAAAAACCACCCCTGTGGTTTTTCAATATTCAGGGGTCTGTATCTCGGTCCAATCCGGTCGAATTTCATTGATTTAGGTGTCATTCGATGCAGCTCGATGAGTTCTACTCATCGAGCTCCATTTTGTACAATAAAGATTTGTACCAACCATTTTGTACAATTTCCGACAATATACGAGGTCAAATGTCCGAATTCGGGTTCGGGATTCGACTTTTTGAAAATCTGAGTTCAGATTCGTAATCAGCATATTTTTTTACCCTAGAAAAATCCTTTTTCTTATTTTTAAGATTTTTTTTCGCAGGGACCACGATTCTCCGGGATTGCCAAATTTCGGGTTTCGAGATTTTACGAAATTTCGATTTGTAAATTTTGACGAAATTTCGGATTTTGTAAATTTTGACGAAATTTCGCATTTTTTTTCTACAATATTTTTTTTAAGATTTCACTTCCGCCATCCTTCATACTCCATTTGCAATACATCTATGCTTTCTACACTGTTAAAATAGTCAACTATAAAATTACTCCATTGGCACAACCATCACTGGAAGAAATTGTTGAAAAACCTTCTAGATTGTTCTGTGGTGCGCTAGATTACGAATCTCCTGAGGATCAATGTTATTTGCCTCCTTGGGTAGGGAGAGCCTTATTTTTAATTTTTTAACCCCTTTGGTGGCCTAAGTGCACTTTACCGGGCGATTTTAGATTTGAACAATTTATATGTCAATCGAAAGAGCTCATCAAGCTGAGTCGAATGACACCAAAATTAGCCCGCGGACTCAACTATGAACCGAGATATGGGTCCCCAAAAATCGAAAAACCATAGGGGGGACCATGCACTTTTTTGGGGGTAAAAAATTCGAATATGCAAATTATACCTCATTCGAAAGAGCTCGTCGAGCTGAGTCGAATGACACCAAAATCACCGTGATTGAATAAGATAAGACTAAGTTATGACACAAAATCAAACAACGTAAACCTATGGAGCGTCGGCGAGGCGCTTGTGCAAAACCCCGCGCTTCGCGCGGGGTTTTGCGGCACGCGCCTCGCGGGGAGTCTACGGGCGCTGGGTCTGGGCTCGTAACATAAACCTATTCCTATCTCCTTTGCTCTGGACGTATTTGGGGCCTCCGTAGCAGCAAAAATCTCCACAGATGCCATAGGTAAGGAGCTAAAATAAGAGATCATAACTTTGTCAAATTAAGTCGGATTTCGTTGATTTTGGTGTCATTCGACTCAGCTCGACGAGCTCTTTCGAATGAGGTATAATTTGCATATTTGAATTTTTCACCCCCAAAAAACAGCTTGGTCCCCCCTATGGTTTTTTGATTTTCGGGGACCTATATCTCTGTCCATAGTTGAGTCCGCGGACTAATTTTGGTGTCATTCGACTCAGCTTGATGAGCTCTTTCGATTGACATATAAATCATAAAAATCTAAAATCGCCCGGTAAAGTGCACTTTAGCCCCTTTGGCCATCCTCCAAGAAATTTTTTTCGGACAGATGTCGTTTCGGTCAAATTTATCAAATGTCATTCTGACCAAATGTCGTTTTGGACAAATGTCGTTTTTAGGTCAAATGTCGTTTTGGTCAAATGTCATTTTGGTCAAATGTCGTTTAGTCAAATGTCAGTTTAGTCACGTGTCGTTTAGGTCAAATGTCGTTTAGGTCAAATGTCATATTGTTAAAGTTAAAACGATTCTATTTTCTAACAGACACTTTCCAATAGTTTATTAAAATTTTTCACATTTAGATGATGCGACAATTGAAATTGCATGATGGTTATCCTGTCTGTATTCAGCACGTAATCAACTTCAAAGCTGCAACTTTTGCAAAATTCAAGCCGATTCTGTCTAAGCGAGTGCTCTCCATTATTAACGACGAAAACATCAAAAAGGTTCGACAAGTGCTTGAAGTGCAGCTGAATAAATATCAGTGCTTGTCTGTTGGGGATGAAATTGCTATTGAGGTAGGGGATGCCTTTTGAAAAATGGGCGTTTTTGAGAGTTGGACGTTTTGAAAATCTGGGAATTTTTGAAATTTGACATTTTGACGTTTAGACCTTTTGAAAAATGACCTTTTAGAAATCGGTGTTTTAAGAATTGGACGTTTTGAAAATTGGGCATTTCGAAAATGTGTATTCTGAAATTTGACATTCTGATACTTGGCATTTTGAAAATTTGACATTTTAATATTTGGGCGTTTTGAAATAAAACTCTTTAAAATTTCAAAAAAAAATTTCTAGTACAACAAGGACGAACTTCGCTTCCGAGTGACTGACTTGCAGCCTAATAGGCTTTGCGACATTACAAATTGTGATTTGAAGGTGGATTTTGATGATTACGAGCTACTTACAGAAACGGCTATTTTTGTAAGACAGAAATTTTTTTTGTAATTTTTAAAAATTTATTTTAAGGATGAACACAAAATGGAGCCTGAAATTGATGAGGACTACAAGCCGGGACAACTAACATTCATGAGAAGGGAGGGATATAAGGCACATAAATTGGTCAAGGAAATGGAGAAGCTCAACAACACTGACAACCCTAAACCAAAGGACAATGATGTCAAGAAGAGTGGCTTTAGCGGGAAAGGCTTCAAACTTGGAAAGAAACCAAAATAAATAATAATTTGCTCATAATTGTAAATATGTTTTTGTTGTATTTGTTATGTGTAATTGTTGCTAATTTATTAAACGATGTTTTTGTGTTTTAAAACATGTTTTGAGTTTCCCTTAACTGGAGTTTACAATTTGTAAGTTTCAAAAAAAAGTTTTACAATTTCCTTAAAGTTTTCATTTCCGGAAAGATTTGCAATTGTAAATATAGTCAAAGAACCTTCCGGAATTGTTTTCCGGAAGTAATATTTTGTTTATTTGTTTCCGGAATTGTATTGGATTTTCCGGAAAGTTTTACAATTTGTAAAAAAGTATTTTAAATTAATCTAATAGTTTTCCGGAAAAATTTTACAATTGTAAAAATAGTCACAGCACCTTCCGGAATTGTTTATTTATTTCCGGAATTGTATTGGATTTTCCGGAAAGATTTACAATTTGTAAAATTATTTTAAATAATCTAAAATTATTTTCCGGAAATGTACAATTGTAATTTTCCGGTTAAACCTTCAAGTTTAACAAATTGTAGTTAATTTAAAACAAGTTTGCAAAACATTTAACAATTACAAACTTTAAAGTTTTACAATTCAAGTTTTACAATTTGTAATTCTCCACTTATTCAGTGTTTTTGATAAACCTTCCCTCAACAAATGTTCTTTCAAAATTAATCCCTTCTTTTATATTTTCTGTTGTTCTGTGGACATAATTACATTCATGGGTAGAGTATCCACATTCCTCAAATAATGAACTTAGCTCCTCTAAAAAAAGTTTTTTTCAATTTTTAATTTTTTGAAATTTTTGTTTTTGCCTGTTAAAAAATAATAGGCTCTAGTCCCGTCCTGTCTAACATAAAAGCGCTCGTCTATTTTTGAATTTCTTCCAAATCTAGTCATTGCACTGAAAATTGAATTTTTAATTTTTTTTCAATTCAGGAATTGTCTTCCGGAAGATTCTCTGAAATTTTTCTGAAAATTTCGGAAATTTTGGATTTGAGGAAAAAATCAATTCCGAAAAGAACCGGAAACTGATTCCGGAAACGGATTATGAAAATTCCGGAAAAAATTTTTCCAGAAGACAATTCCGGAAAAATTTTTCCGGACAAATTTTTTCCGGAATACAATTCCGGAAATTTTCCAAAATTTTCCTGAAAATTCCGTTCCGGTTCAAAAAAACCGGAAATGGAATCCGGAAACAGATTCTAAAATTCCGGAGACATTTCCGGAAAAAAATTTTCCGGAAAGACAATTCCGGAAAAAAATTTTCCGGAAGACAATTCCGGAAATTCTCCGAAATTTTCCTGAAAATTCCGTTCCGGAAACGGATCCGGAAACAAATACTGAAAATTCCGGAAAATTTCCGGAAAAAATTTTTCCGGAAAGACAATTCCGGAAAACTTAAAAATTGCAAGGTTTAACTGGTCATTCGCTCCATAATCCCTAACAATTACACTTCCTTTCGGCTTCAATAATTTCCTAATATTTTTAACAACTTCAAATTGCCCTTCTTTTGAAATTGTTGAGAGTACAAACACTAGAGAAATTAAATCCATTTGAGGAAAATCCAATTCTGATATGTTTCTTGATGTTAAATCGAATACAGTGGCTATAACTAAAAAGAATGTTTTTACAAAAGTTTTACAATTGTATTTATTTGATTTAAATTATTGTTTTTCCGGAAATGTTTTACAATTGTATAAAATAAAAATTACAAATGTCTTCCGGAAAATTATTAAATTCATTTAAATTAATTCCGGAATTCATTTTGCTTTTCCGGAAAGGTCTACAATTGTAAAAAATAATAATTAAATGTTTTTCCGGAAAGCTGTATAATCCTTTAATTATTCTGGAATTGTAAAATCAGTTTTGTTTTACTTTTCCGGAAAAGTTTACAATTGTAAAAAATTAAAAATTACTATCTTTTTCCGGAAAATTGTAAATTCATTCAAATAAATTCCGGAACTCAGTTTTACTTTTCCGGAAACGTTTTACAATTGTAAATAATAAAAATTACAGTTGTTTTCCGGAAAATTGTAAATTCAATTTAATTAATTCCGGCATTGTAAAATCAGTTGTTTTAATTTACCGGAAAAGTTTACAATTGTAAAAAAATAAAATAATAAAATCCGTAATTGTTTTCCGGAAATATGTGCATTGATTTAATTATTTCCGGAATTGTAAATCAATTGCTTACTTTCCGGAAAGGTTTACAATTGTAAAAAAATAAAATATAGTTGTCTTCCGGAAGATTGTAAATTCATTTAAATTAATTCCGGAATTTAGTTTTAATTTTCCGGAAAAGTTTACAATTGTAAAAAATAAAATATAGAAATGTTTTCCGGAAAATAGTTAAATTACTTCCTGAATTGTAAAATTAGTTTAGTTTTAATTTTCCGGAAAGGTTTTACAATTGTAAAATAATGAATATATCAAATCGCAGCAAATTCAGATCATTTCGGAAATGTTTCGGGTATTTTACAATTGTAAATTATAATAATTGAATGTTTTTCCGGAAAATTGTTAAGTTTATTCAAATTAATTCCGGAACTCAGTTTTACTTTTCCGGAAAGATTTACAATTGTAAAATTAAAAAATATAGAATTTTCCGGAAAATTGTAAATTCATTTAAATTACTTCCTGAATTGTAAAATCAGTTTTGTTTTACTTTTCCGGAAAGGTTTACAATTGTAAAAAATAAAATCTAAAGTCGACTAGAATTCCGGAAATATTTTTCCGGAAAGTTTCACATCATAGTTAGTCGTTTCTAAAGCAAATTCTTCTTCCTCTTACCCCTTACGCTTGTTTCCTCTGATCTCTTCTCAAGTAAATCAATTGCATTTTTAGAAAAATCTATTCCGTAAAATTCCCAATTAGGAAAACATTTGGTTAACGGGAATATTGTATTTCCACACCCACAACCAGCATCGAGAAATAAAAGGGGATCCTTAAATTAAAAAAAATTTTTTTTTTAATTTTAAAAAGCTAACATTTAAGGAAATATCCTCACATAAATGTTCAATTTCTTTCTTAGTCCAATTCCTATCCTTAAAAAAGTTGGAAGAATTTCTTTTGTAAAAGCGGTCCCAATTTTTCTGTGCGTCCTTTTCCAAGGTTAGCCTATAAAAATAGAGACTAAGAGACTTGTTTTACAATTGTAAAAAAATAAAATAATAAAATCCGTAATTGTTTTCCGGAAATATGTGCATTGATTTAATTATTTCCGGAATTGTAAATCAATTGCTTACTTTCCGGAAAGGTTTACAATTGTAAAAAAATAAAATATAGTTGTCTTCCGGAAGATTGTAAATTCATTTAAATTAATTCCGGAATTTAGTTTTAATTTTCCGGAAAAGTTTACAATTGTAAAAAATAAAATATAGAAATGTTTTCCGGAAAATAGTTAAATTACTTCCTGAATTGTAAAATTAGTTTAGTTTTAATTTTCCGGAAAGGTTTTACAATTGTAAAATAATGAATATATCAAATCGCAGCAAATTCAGATCATTTCGGAAATGTTTCGGGTATTTTACAATTGTAAATTATAATAATTGAATGTTTTTCCGGAAAATTGTTAAGTTTATTCAAATTAATTCCGGAACTCAGTTTTACTTTTCCGGAAAGATTTACAATTGTAAAATTAAAAAATATAGAATTTTCCGGAAAATTGTAAATTCATTTAAATTACTTCCTGAATTGTAAAATCAGTTTTGTTTTACTTTTCCGGAAAGGTTTACAATTGTAAAAAATAAAATCTAAAGTCGACTAGAATTCCGGAAATATTTTTCCGGAAAGTTTCACATCATAGTTAGTCGTTTCTAAAGCAAATTCTTCTTCCTCTTACCCCTTACGCTTGTTTCCTCTGATCTCTTCTCAAGTAAATCAATTGCATTTTTAGAAAAATCTATTCCGTAAAATTCCCAATTAGGAAAACATTTGGTTAACGGGAATATTGTATTTCCACACCCACAACCAGCATCGAGAAATAAAAGGGGATCCTTAAATTAAAAAAAAATTTTTTTTTAATTTTAAAAAGCTAACATTTAAGGAAATATCCTCACATAAATGTTCAATTTCTTTCTTAGTCCAATTCCTATCCTTAAAAAAGTTGGAAGAATTTCTTTTGTAAAAGCGGTCCCAATTTTTCTGTGCGTCCTTTTCCAAGGTTAGCCTATAAAAATAGAGACTAAGAGACTTGTTTTACAATTGTAAAAAAATAAAATAATAAAATCCGTAATTGTTTTCCGGAAATATGTGCATTGATTTAATTATTTCCGGAATTGTAAATCAATTGCTTACTTTCCGGAAAGGTTTACAATTGTAAAAAAATAAAATATAGTTGTCTTCCGGAAGATTGTAAATTCATTTAAATTAATTCCGGAATTTAGTTTTAATTTTCCGGAAAAGTTTACAATTGTAAAAAATAAAATATAGAAATGTTTTCCGGAAAATAGTTAAATTACTTCCTGAATTGTAAAATTAGTTTAGTTTTAATTTTCCGGAAAGGTTTTACAATTGTAAAATAATGAATATATCAAATCGCAGCAAATTCAGATCATTTCGGAAATGTTTCGGGTATTTTACAATTGTAAATTATAATAATTGAATGTTTTTCCGGAAAATTGTTAAGTTTATTCAAATTAATTCCGGAACTCAGTTTTACTTTTCCGGAAAGATTTACAATTGTAAAATTAAAAAATATAGAATTTTCCGGAAAATTGTAAATTCATTTAAATTACTTCCTGAATTGTAAAATCAGTTTTGTTTTACTTTTCCGGAAAGGTTTACAATTGTAAAAAATAAAATCTAAAGTCGACTAGAATTCCGGAAATATTTTTCCGGAAAGTTTCACATCATAGTTAGTCGTTTCTAAAGCAAATTCTTCTTCCTCTTACCCCTTACGCTTGTTTCCTCTGATCTCTTCTCAAGTAAATCAATTGCATTTTTAGAAAAATCTATTCCGTAAAATTCCCAATTAGGAAAACATTTGGTTAACGGGAATATTGTATTTCCACACCCACAACCAGCATCGAGAAATAAAAGGGGATCCTTAAATTAAAAAAAAATTTTTTTTTAATTTTAAAAAGCTAACATTTAAGGAAATATCCTCACATAAATGTTCAATTTCTTTCTTAGTCCAATTCCTATCCTTAAAAAAGTTGGAAGAATTTCTTTTGTAAAAGCGGTCCCAATTTTTCTGTGCGTCCTTTTCCAAGGTTAGCCTATAAAGAAAAATAAACTTTTTTACAATTGTAAAAATAAAATAAATAAATAAATTACAATTATTTTCCGGAAAAATAAATAAAAGACTAGAGGGTTTTACAATTGTAAGTTTAATTCTCCGTTTCCGGAAATTGTTTCCGGAAAAATTAAAAACTAGGTTTTACAATTGTAAAAGTTAATTTGTTTCCGGAAATTGTTTCCGGAAAAATAATTATTAAAGTTATAAGGTTTTACAATTGTAAAAGTAAAATAAACTTGTTTTACAATTGTAAAATTAAAATAAATAAATTACAATTATTTTCCGGAAAAATAAATAAAAAGACTAGAGTTACAATTGTAAGTTTAATTTTCCGTTTCCGGAAAATTAAAAACTAGGTTTTACGATTAATTTATTTTCCGGAAATTGTTACCGGAAAAATAATTATTAGTTGAGATTTTTACAATTGTAAAAGTAAAAAATAAACATGTTTTACAATTATAAGTAAAACTTAGGGTTTTAAAATTGTCAGTTTAATTTTTCTCGCGGTTATTTGTTTCCGGAAAATTAAGTTTTAAATTAAAAGCTACTTTTTCCGGAAATTGTTTGACTGACCTTCTCAAAAACCCAACTCTTTTACCCTACTTGATTTTACAATTGTAAAACAAGTTTGTTAAAATTATTTTTAAAAAAACTCACTAGCCTTTTGTATTCGCTTACAAGGGTAGACTCACCTCTTCCTTCCATTCCTCAAATTTAAAATAAAAATAAAAAAAGCACTTTAAAAAATAATTTTAAAAATAATTTATAATATTGGGAGGATTTTTAAACATCCAAATTCTTTAAAAAAATTTCTATTTTTATTTACAATTTTAATTATGTACAAAAAACTAGAAAAAGATAGTAGGTACAAGCACTAGAAAAGTTTAAAAAATACATAAAGACTAATAATTAAATAAAATAAATTTGTAAAATACTTAAATTGTCTCTCAGATTGTCTCTCAATTTTTAAAATTCTTTTAAAAAATATTTTAAAAATATTCCTAAATATTAGGAATATTTTTTGAATATTTATGAGAGACAATTTAGTCAATACAGGTATGTCACATGTAAATTTAAAAAAAAGAATTTTAAAAAATTTTAAAAAATTATAGCAAAAAAATGAAGTGAATAGTATATTTTAATATAAATGTATAGAGCAGGGATCCTGCAGACAAAAAACCAAAATTCACGATTTTGGGGATCAGGAATTCCCGAGAAAATAAATTCACGATTACGGGAAAATTTCGGGAAATCGACCCAAAAAGCCCAAAAAATCTCGATTTTCGGGAATTTTTGGGAAGCGGGACGGCAGGATTCCTGGTATTAGAGCTGTCCAGGACCGCAGATTGTTTAAGGCTGAAAAAAACCCCCAAGAAAAGTCCTGAATCAAGTCTCAAAAACAAAGGGACATGGACAGCTTCTAGTAAATATAAAATTTATTTAAATATTAAGGGCACCTAATTATAGGCCATTCTTTTCAAAAAAAAAATTATTTTCTAAAATAAAAATTTCTTTTTCTCAAATATCAATTTTTGAAAGCGTCATGAGATCCTCTTCTTCCTGACTCTGTTCCAGCGAATCATCCTGAAGTTTAAAAAAATTTGTATTTTCTGTGTTTCTTGGTTTTTTGTGTATTTTTATGCTTTTATGTATTTTTTCCTGTATTTTTGTTTTTTATTTTTATGTTTTTAGTATTTTCTAATTTTGTATTTAAAAAAAATTTCTATTATAAATCGACAACTAATTTTACCATTTCCTCGCTCAAATTCAAATCTCTCATTGCCTCATCAATTTTTTCTTTTAATTTTCCAGATATCCCATCCATTGATTTTGAATCTATTTCTGAAGACCAAGAACCACAAACAATTTTTGCTACAACCATTTCCTCGTTTGATTTAATAAATCCATTCATTTGGTGATGTTGTTGATGTTCTCTTTCGATTAAGACTGGGCAACACTTTTTTAGGCCATTGACTTGGGAAATGAAACTTTCGCAAGAGTCCTCATCTGTCTAGAAAATTGGAAAAAATTAATCAAAAACTATAAAACACAAATTACAATCACAAAAATAAAAAAAACACAAAAATATCAAACACAGAAATACAAAAAAAAAATACAAAACCACAAAATACACACGAATACACAAACACAGAAACGGGTACACACGCTGTACCGCAAGCAACCCCAATGTATCGTCGAGCTATAACTCTGTTTAAAATTGACGAATCCGTGGCGCCCTGGTATGGTTCGATGCGGCTTGACCAGCTGAATTGAACCATACCAGAACGCCACGGATTCGACAATCTTGGACAACGTTATAGCTCGGCGGTACATTAGGCTCGCGGTACACTTGTCTGTTTCCAACACAAAAATATTAAACTTACACATTCTGAAGACGTAGAAGATGTAGTATGAACATTGAAGCAAAATTGAGGTCCAAGCCACTTAAAAAATTTAAGAAATTTAACAGAAAAAAGCTATATTTTTACCAATCTTCTATGAGGCCCAGAATAAGTAATAACTTCCAAAAACGGAAGCCAATTCTTTTCCTGTTGTTTAATTTGGTTCTTCTCCTTGCTTTTTAAATATAATTTCATAAAAGAATTGTTTTGAGGAAGTGGAGGGTTAACTGCTTCAAAGTCTATAGTACTGTTGCTTCTAAAAATTAAATAAAATGTATTTTGTAAAAACATGTTTATATAAAACAAGTTTTACAATTTGTATGTTTTTCCTAAGCGATTGTAAATTAAGGTCGTTTTACAACTTAAGTTTGACCTAATCTATAAAAACAAGTACTACACTTTTTTAAGTTTTTTTTTAAAAAATTGGTTTGTTGTTTAACGTTAAAACTTGTTTTCACAATTCATAATAAGTTTAAACAATATTAAATTTGCTTTACAATTTGTAAAAAGTTTTTCCTAAGCAATTGTAAATTAAACCTTATTTTACAACTTAATATTAAATCTTGCTTATGTTTAAAAACAAGTTTTACAATTTGTAAAAAAGTTTCAAAAATTAATATTACGTTAGCAACTTTTTTACAATTTGTAAAAATGTTCCAAAAATTAAAATTATGTTTAGCAACTTTTTTACAATTTGTAAAAAGTTTTAAAACCTTGTTCAAATAAAACTTTGTTTTACAACACCCATAATTTTCAGTCAAAACATGTTTGCTTATTAATATTATGTTTAGCAACTTGTTTTACAATTTGTAAAAAACCCTAAACCCATTAAACTTGTTTTAATTTTTGTTTTAAACTTTATTTTACAATTTGTAAAAGTTTTAAAACTTTGTTCAAATAAAACTTGTTTTACAACACCCATAATTTTCATTCAAAACATGTTTTGTTTATTTTCTTACCTGCTTAATTCCCACTCAGTCATTCTAACCAACTTTGCATTGTTTATAGAATCATTAATTACAACATTGTTGCAATTATTGTTGTTGCTATTACTAATTCTTCTATTATCATTAATTGACAAACAACTTTTTCTATTACAACTGCCCCTTTCAAAATCAGAAGGTAAATCATTTGACAAGGATTTTTTAAGAATATTAATTGAATTATATGTTTGTAAATTATTTGTAATATCTATTCCATATTGGGTTAATACACCATCACCTTCTAGCATTATTAAGGAAGAGACGATTGATGGACGTTGTTGTTGCTTCTGTGAAAAATAGGAAAAAATTATTACAATTTGTAAAAAGGTTGTGAATATATTAATATGTTTCACAAATTGTTTTGCAATTTGTAAAAAGTTTGAGAACATGTTATAATATGTTTCGCAACTTATTTTACAATTTGTAAAATAAGTTTGTCATGAGCAATTGCAAATTAAACTTGTTTACAATTTGAAAAAAGGTTGAGAACATGTTAATATATGTTTTCAACTTGTTTTACAATTTGTAAAACAAGTTTATAAACCTATTAAAATATAAAAACAGTTTTTACAATTTGTAAAAAAAGTTTGTCATACGAGCTTGTTAAAAAATTTTACAATTTGTAAAAAAAGTTTTAAACCTATTAAAACAAAAAACAGTTTTTACAATATGTAATGAGTTTCAGAACACGATAAAATATGTTTTACAACTTGTTTTACAATTTGTAAAAAAAGTTTGTCATACGAGCTTGTTAAAAAATTTTACAATTTGTAAAAAAAGTTTTAAACCTATTAAAACAAAAAACAGTTTTTACAATATGTAATGAGTTTCAGAACACGATAAAATATGTTTTACAACTTGTTTTACAATTTGTAAAAAAAGTTTGTCATATGAGCTTGTTAAAAAATTTTACAATTTGTAAAAAAAGTTTTAAACCTATTAAAACAAAAAACAGTTTTTACAATATGTAATGAGTTTCAGAACACGATAAAATATGTTTTACAACTTGTTTTACAATTTGTAAAAAAAGTTTGTCATACGAGCTTGTTAAAAAATTTTACAATTTGTAAAAAAAGTTTTAAACCTATTAAAACAAAAAACAGTTTTTACAATATGTAATGAGTTTCAGAACACGATAAAATATGTTTTACAACTTGTTTTACAATTTGTAAAAAAAGTTTGTCATATGAGCTTGTTAAAAAATTTTACAATTTGTAAAAAAAGTTTTAAACCTATTAAAACAAAAAACAGTTTTTACAATATGTAATGAGTTTCAGAACACGATAAAATATGTTTTACAACTTGTTTTACAATTTGTAAAAAAAGTTTGTCATACGAGCTTGTTAAAAAATTTTACAATTTGTAAAAAAAGTTTTAAACCTATTAAAACAAAAAACAGTTTTTACAATATGTAATGAGTTTCAGAACACGATAAAATATGTTTTACAACTTGTTTTACAATTTGTAAAAAAAGTTTGTCATACGAGCTTGTTAAAAAATTTTACAATTTGTAAAAAAAGTTTTAAACCTATTAAAACAAAAAACAGTTTTTACAATATGTAATGAGTTTCAGAACACGATAAAATATGTTTTACAACTTGTTTTAAAGTTTGTAATAAGCAATTGTAGATTAAACTTGTTTTACAATTTGTAAAAAGGTCATTATTCCTCTTATGTTTTGCAACTTGTTTGTTAATCTTATTTTAAAATTAGTTAAATTACAAATTGACCCAATTAATTTCAAAAAAATTTTAAAATAAAAAAAATAATTTTATTTACATCAATTAAACTGTCAGTAAAAATGACAGCCCTTTTTGCTGTTGGTGAAACATCTTTGGAATTGTAATCATTTTTATGATGGAGTCTACTACCATTTGATGGTTGTAAAATATTTGGAGTATTGTCGGAAGCCCAAGCACTTTAAGAAAAAAATAATAATTTTTTTTGAAATTTTAATTTTCAAGGTCATAAAAAAATTGAAAAAAATTTTTAAAATTTTTTTAATTTCAAAAAAATTTTTCAAGACTTTCAAAAAATTTCAGAAAAAGTTTTCATTAAAAATTTTTCTAAATTTTCAAAAAAAAATTTTTCAAAAAATTTTAGAAAAAAAAAGTTTTTTCCTTACCAAAAACTTTCAGAAGAAAATAATGCTTGTTTAGCCAATACTGATGAACACTATAAAAATAAGTAAAATTATCAAAAAAATTAAAAAAATTTACCAATACAATAGGCTTAACATAATAGCTGGATACATGGGCATTAGACACTGTTCGTATTAATGTTGAATTTTTTGTGCCAGGATGGATTCTATTAAAAAAATTTTTTTGAAAAATTCTAGCATTAAATAGAGTATTTTTTGATTAAAAATTAAAAATAACATTAGAGGGAAAGGTCCAAAAACTAGTTTTATTCAACAAGTTTATCCACACCTAATTCGGTAAAATTTCCCCCTCCCAAGAAGTGGCTCAGAAAAATAAAATAATGCAAGCAAGCAATGCCACTGGAGAAAGCAGGGGTGTAGTATAAGGGAGTTTTTTTTGTTCTTCAAGGAAAGAATGATCTGAAAGAAATTTTGCGGAAAAGCAGTGGACGAAAGGATGGAGCGGAGTGAGAGAAAAAAGAGGGTGGGTGGGAGAGGGTGTATTTTGAAAAGTTTCAAACTCTTCAATATTTTATGGCCTAAAATAACAACCCCCTACTAGAGAACCAAAAAAAATTTTTACCAAAAAAATTTTAAACCTAAAAACTTGTTGATGATTATTTCCACCACCACTTCCACTATTACTATTACAATTATTTGTTCTATTAATTATTCCAGCAGTTTTTTCAAATCGACTTTCTTTATTCATAAATTTGCCGTTATGTGTACGCGTTGTTACTCGACCTCCATAAGGTGTAATAGCAAATAAATGGGTACTTCCATGATTTGTAGAAATGGCTACCCAACGATTGTCTGATGAAAAAACGCTGCTAATGACCTAAAGAGGAAAAGTAAAAAAATTAAAAAAATTTTTGAGGGTAAAAAAATTTTTTTTTAATTTCAAAAAAAATTTTTGGAAATTGAAAAATTTTCTCGAAGAATTTTCCAAAATTTCTGGAGTTGAAAATTTTCAAAAAAATTTTTTTTTTAATTTCAAAAAAATTTTCAAAATTTTTTTGAGGTTAAAAAATTTCAAATTTTAAATTTCAAAAAATTTTTAGGGGTTAAAAAAATTTTCAAAAAATTTCAGAAAAATTTTGTGGGGGTTAAAAAATTTTTCAAAAAATTTTCCGAGAATTTTTTGGAATTAAAAATTTTCAAAAATTAAAGGTAATATTGAACGTGACAGACCCCTTTTTTCTTCCCCAAGTTTTTCCCCTATATTTTTACAGAATGGTCAGACTTCTTCCTTTCTCCCATCCCAATTGCCTTTCTATATTTAACAAAAAGGATTAGTTAATTTTATACAAGTGAAAGTATATGCAAAAAAATTAAGAGGAGTATTAATTTTGTTCTCAATTTATAAAAAAATGGAACAACTTTTGGCAATTGGGAAGGAATCAAGGAAAAACTGTTGTTTATGATTGATTGTAGGATTTGTAGAAAGGCAATTGGGAAGGGAGAAAGGAAAAAGTCTGACCATTCTGTGAAAATACAGGGTAAAACTTGGGGAGGAAAAAAGGGGGTCTGTCACGTTCAATATTACCAAATTAAAAAAAATTCGAAAAAATTCCAAAAAAAAATTTCAAAAAATTTTTAAAAATTTTAGAAATTTTTTTAGAATTTCTTTCAAAAAAATTTTTCCAAAACCTTTGCAGTCGAATTTCCTCTCACAAGGGAATAAATATGTTGAATACATGAAAGAGCTGAATTTTTTGGGTGTACATTGACAAGAAAAACATTAAAAATTGTAGATGAACTAGAACCAGTTAGAAGCAATTGACCTCCTTTTCCAAACATTAAATGACCAATTTTTGAATTTTTATGAGCACAAAAATGTGCCAAATAATCCAGATTTGTGGTAGGCTGATTCTGTAAATGATAGAAAATTTTATAAAATTTTGAAGAAAATGGACAGTGTCCGCAAATATTTTTGAATCAAAAGGGCCAAAGAAAAAATAAAGAAAAGACCGGATTTCTCGAAATTAGTTCGACATTTTTTATATCCACAATCCTGACATTTTTTCAAACAGAAATCCTAATCCAAAGATAAATATGAGAAAACAACCCGAAATTCGACCCAACTTTAATTTTTATACGAACCCATTTTGTAAAAATATGAATAATTCAAAAATGGACAAAAGACAAGTTTTGGGTAATCCTTGCAAAAAAAAAAACAGAATTTTATGTATTTTTTAAAAAAATGTTATCCTTTCCCTTACAAATTAGGTAACTACGTCCTTTTAAACCTTCCTTACTCTTGGTGACTTGCCCTACAATTTCCACACACATAATCAAAAAGTTAACACAAAAACAAAAAAAAATATTTGCGGACAAAAGTTTGCGGACAGCGCCCTCTCAACCCCGAATTTAAAAAAATAAACCTTGTTCGATTTAAAAGATGTTGAAAAATATTTTAAATTTGGATCAATATTTACAATTGTTACAAGTCCCGTTTTATTGTTGTTATTAATAATTCCATTATTATTTACATTCTTTAAAGGTGTAGTAATTGAGGAAACTAAAGAACCACCAAAAGAAGTCATTGTTTTGGTTATTTTTTTGGCTGTTAACATTACATGGTTGTCTGTTGAATGATTGTCACTAGAAAATCCGCAAGAAAGTAATGAATGTTTCCACTGAAAAAAATTTTAAAAAATGAAATGAGTTGACCAAATGGTCCTTTACCATTTTGAAAAGGCTAAAAATATTCCGTTTAAAGCCAAGGTTTTCTAAAATGTTTTTGACTGTGTTAGTCAGTGATCTTCCGATTCCAAGAAAAGTTTCCAAAAACCGCGGTTTCGGGCTCAACGTCTAATTGTAAGTCAAGGAACCAGGAAAAAAGTGGAATAGACAAGGAACCATGAAAAATTGGGACCGAACAAAAACTTGAATATCGGAACCGCCTTCGATTCTAAGGAGTCAGTATCCTTCTGGCTCCCAAATCATTGCTCAGGTTCTTGTTCATAATAGAGGAATACAAAAAATGGGATTGGCCAGGAATCAGAACCACAGAACCGTCTACGACTTTGTGAAAACCAGAAAAGCACTGAAATAACTATCCCCAATAAAAAATAGAAACAAACATTTTCATCAGCAAAAGCAAGGAAATTTCCTGACAAGGCAAACACTGGACATCCTTTTGGTATTTTTACACGTAAGCGTTCAATGAGGTCATTATTGTTGTAAATTATAATTATTTCGGCAAGCATTACCAAAAAACAGCTTTAAAATTTAAAAAATAATTGAAAAGTTAACCAAAAATTAGAACAAACTTGGAAGAAAAATCAATTTCCGCAATGTGGGTGTCAAATTTATCCCGTCGCCAAGTCTCTCCAGAACTCAAAGAAATAAAATTTAAAGTGTTCCCATCAGAAGAGTACTCCTCGAAAACAGAAGCAAATATTGGGCGATGAGTGGAGAGACTGAATGAGAAAATGTTAATTAAAAAGAGTCAAAGTTCGCTATAAGAGACCCTCTTGAAGAAAGGCCCCCTACCTATGCAGAGAGAGAAATCCCCCTTATGAGGCGTCACTTAAAGGGGGCAGGGATGTGTCGAAACTAATTTTAAAAAGCAAAAGACGAAAGAAAAAAATGCGACATTTAATTAAAACAAGAATGTCAAAACAGCAAAAAAAAAATGCTAAAATCAGCGAAAATGGCACAACCCTAATAGGGGGTATTCCATAGACACCTACCCAGTGGCCAAGCGAATTTTAAAAAAGTATCTTAAATTGGGGAGGTCTTAAAGATAGTGGATCGGAGGTGTCTTATATCACAATAAGCGCACCATTTTCCTAAAATAGAAATTTTAATTAGCTTGACTTATAGCGAGGTTTGACTAATTAAAAATTCAAAAAGAACCTGTCAACACCATCAACATTAAAAGGCAGAAGTAATCCATCTTTAAGAGGAGCGTTTCTAACAGAAATTATTTCTTCAAATTCACCATTTTCCTATTAAAAAAAGTAAAAATTTAAAGAAAATTAAAGTTTAAAAAACCATAAAATAAATTTGATATCCTCTTGCCAAGCCAATAATAATTACAATAAGAGCAGAATCTTTGCCTTTCAAACCTGAAATTGTAAAAGTTAGTCGAAGACAAATTAAGGAAACTGTGAGAGAATTAAAAATTAAACCACTTATGACCATGGAATTAAATAAGAAACTGGTTATCATAGTTCCTAACCGCGAATAAAAAATAAAGGGGGCAAGCGGACTCGAACCCACACCCCCATGTTATTAAAATTGAAAATTAAACCACTTAACCACGAAGACATTAAAGTCAACTAATTACTCAGGAAATCACCTGACCACACAAAAATAAACAGAAAGACAGGCGGACTCGAACCCACCACCCCCCCCCCCATTAATTACTAAAACTAAAAATTAAATCACTTAACCACGGAGTCAAAAAATTAATAAGTCAATTAATTGTTCTAAATTCAACCCAAACCCATTACAATAAAAAATCCTAACCAGTCTGAAGATTTTGAATCTTTGCCCATTTTATTGGCTCATTAGTTGAATTCACATTAGTAATGACTTCATTGACAAAACCCGCAACAGAATCCGTCAGAGTAGATTTCCTTGAAATTAAGGGGAAGTTAAGGGAATTCTAGAGAAATTCAAAGCAAAATACTTGGTTATTGGTTTTCCTTTAATTCGCTTCGGACTGTGATGAAAATTGGCTGTTAAATTGTTTGTGGAGCCATTTTCAAGAGGCACTCCCCCAACATTTTTGACATTTTTTACAAATTTGTGATTATCGTCTTTTTTAATTTTGTCATTTTTATTTGGCATAAGCGATTGTTTTAACTAAAATTGAAGAGAAATGAAGTATTACAAGTTAAAATGACAAATGATTAATTTTTTCGTTCCATATGATTAAAAGAAAAAAGCAATTTAACTAGTAAAAGTGAAAAATGTGTAATATAGCGGCAACGAGAAAGATAAGGGGAAATGAAGAGAGTGGTTAGAGAAAAGAATAAAGTTAGAGAAAAGTTTAAAGAAATAGGACTTCCCAGTATTTTTTACCAATTCCACATTTTGCCAATTAGGCCAAAAATAGACGTTTTGCCAAAGGCCGTGTGACAAAATGTAGGGTTTTAGCCTAATTGGCAAAATGTGGAATTGGTAAAATAGAGATTTTGAAAAGAAATAAAAACTTAACAAACACATGACTGAATTTCAAAATGGTCAGAAGTGGAAAAAATACCATCTAGTCTACACTATTTTAACCCTGTAAAATTAACATTATCTTGATAAAAAGAAGAATAGAAGTCATAATGCTTCGTTTTATTCTTCTGAACAAAGTGAAAAATGACCGAAATGTCTATATTATAAAGAAACTTCCGCGTCTATTTTCTATAATTATCCTCATTCTTTTCCTAGTATATTTCTCTGCTTTCTAAGAAAATTGTCTTTTTTTATTAATGTGCCGACATTATGCCAATCCATATTTTGCCAATAAGAGTAAAAACCCGCATTTTGTCACACGGAAATATCGACAAAATGCGTGGTTTTAGCCTTTTTGGCAAAATGTGTTTTTAGCAAAATATGGATGGCCCTTTTCCTTTATCAGAGTCACGACATTATGCCGACCCATATTTTGCCAATAAGGGTAAAAACCCACATTTTGTCACACGGAAATATTGGCAAAATGCGTGGTTTTAGCCTTGTTGGCAAAATGTGTGGTTGGCAAAATATGTAATAACCCTTTTCTTTTATCAAAGGTCTCGACATTATGCCAAAACATATTCCGTCAATAAGGCTAAAAATCCGCATTTTGTCACTACGGCCTTGTTGACAAAACGAGAGGTTTTACCCTTGTTGGCAAAATATGAAATAGTCTTTTCTTTTATCTAAGGATGATGTGTCTCTCCTCGTGCTAAATAAAACACAACGCCAACACTTTATTTAAATTAAAATCAATGCTTACATCATTTTATCGATTTTTTCAACTAGCCAAGCGGGCCATAACCGCTTTACACTCTCGCTCGGATTAAAAAGCTTTAGACAGGTGGAAGGCGTACGTTTGTGTGGATATAGAAGAGAAAGGTTTTTGCGACACAAGTGTGTGTGGATTGAACTAGAGCCACACACACAAGTGTCACATTTTTTTGTTTCCTTTCTCTCAAGGATTTCGACTTTTAAGTCAAAAATTTTTCTTTTTTTTTTCAACAATTTTTTTTAAATTTCTTTTTTGGGATCACACACAAGCTTTTTAATCTTTTTGAGACATTAAAATGATCATCGATTATAGCGTTCATTAATTCCTTTAAAAGTTGAAAAGTTTGTTCTTTTTATGTTTGGGACTTGGTTAAATCTGTGGGCAAAGGCTGTGATTTTTTGGGAATTTTTCTTTAGAGTTTTTTGCCTGGCGATGTGTGTGATGTCCTGTTCGAGGTTCTATTTTCAGAAGGAACTCCTAAATAAGCGAGTTTTCGACAACTTTTTATGGGAATGGTTGAGGACGTCGCTCAACTTGGTGTTGCCTAAGGTCTGAACCAAAGGTGAAGCTTCGAATTTTGGGAAGCTTTCCTTGGCTTGTCTGGGAATAAGTGTGCTATCATTTTCGAGTTTTTAATTCCCTTAGCAAGTCTTGAAGAGGCGAGTTTTTGACGACTTTATCAAGAGGGTTGAGAACTTCAACTTGATGTTGCCTAAAGCTCTGAAGCAAGGGTGCTTCCCGGTCAAGACTTTTCTATTTTTTTTCTTACCTGTCGAGGCTTCCCCAAATCGTTGTCCATAGCATTCCAGGATAGGAAGGTTGAAATATCCAGCAAAACACCCTTCGTAAGGTGGGTTACTGGGACATGTGTTCATTCTCGTGTGATGTATTTGGGCGAATTCCTATTTCGAGGCGCATCTACTGCAATTACTTGATCCAAGCCTCTGTGTTACGGTTTCTTTGATCATGGAATCCATCGGTCCCAGTGAATTTCAAATTGGGATGCTGTGTTGTCTACCTTTTTCTCCTAAACTCTTATCTTCCCAAAAAATATTTTAGAGACTTCGATCCATGTCTCTTATTCCAAACTTTAAATTTTATTTTTTTTTTCAGGAGGAAAATATTTTTTTCTAACTTGCAATATATTCTCTATTTATCTAGCATTATTTAACAATAATTAATTATTAAAAATGACTGACGTTGAAAAAATTAATTTGGACAATATTATAGCTCGGCTGCTTGAAGGTTTATTTTTATTTAAAATCGTGACCCCTCATAAATATAAAATTCAAAAGAGCTCGTCGAGCTGGGTATCACGTCATATGCTAAGAGAGAGAGAGCATCACGTCATACGCTTTCTCCTACATTTTCTGACCATTTCGGGCCTTATTTTGTGTTTCTCACCACTTAAGGTGTTGTGATAACGTTGAGCCCTTTTTCTAGGCTTTGATTATTTAGGCCCTATTTAGAGATTCTGACCATTTCGAGCCCTATTTCTAGATTTTGACCATTTTGAGCCCACTATATTGTAAATGCGTGGAGTCCTATAGGTCACCCAAAGTTGCTGCTGGCCCCTCATAATCCTGGTTTCATTCAAGTCAACTCGATAAGCTCTTTCGAATGACATTTACTTTGCCCATATTTTTGGCTGGTTCTTTTCTATTTTTCTTTAAACAATTTTTCAAAAATTTTTTTTTCAGTGAGAGGTTCAAAACCAGGAAAGAATGTTCAATTAACAGAAAATGAGATTAAAGGGCTTTGCGTAAAATCAAGAGAAATATTTCTCAGTCAACCCGTTCTTCTTGAACTTGAAGCTCCGCTAAAAATTTGTGGGGACGTTCACGGACAGTATTATGACCTCTTGCGACTTTTTGAATATGGAGGGTTTCCACCAGAGTCAAATTATCTATTTCTTGGTGATTATGTTGACAGGTTTGCATTTTAGTTTGTTTCTGGGATCTATTGTCCAGAGTTGGTCTCTGGGTCCATTGAAGCTTTATGAGTCCAATGAAGGTTTATGAGTCCATTGAAGCCTTATAAGTCCGATGGAGTTTTGTGGTGATTCTTAAGACTCATAATCTTTTGTCCGGATTCCCATGATTCAATAAACTCATTAACTTGATTAGAACACGATATGTGACGCTGTTCTGGTTTAATAGACCAATGAAGATGCAACGTAAGTTTCTGTTCTTTAGGAGTCTTGTTTGATTCCGTCCATTGTTTCCAATGATCCTAGGACTGTGAGCAGGCCCGTAGCCAGGATTTTTTTTCGAGGGGGGGAAATTTTTTTGCGCCAAATTTTTGGCGCCGAAGGCGCCAAAAATTTTTATTCTCAGCGCCGCAGGCGAAAATTTTGAGAATTTTAGAAGGCCGTAGGCCAAAAAAATTCACTTTTTCGGCGCCGCAGGCGCCAAAAATTTGATTTTCAGCGCCGCAGGCGAAAATTTTTTGAATTTTGGACCTAAAGAAGCCAGATTTCTTCCTTTTTAGCGCCGCAGGCGAAAATTTTTTAAATTTCAGAGGCCGTAGGCCAAAAAAATTCACTTTTTTTGCCCCAGCCCTTCCCCAAATTTTTTCCTTTTTCCCATTTCGGGGGGGGGGGGGGGAATTCCCCCCCTCACCCCCCCCCCCTGGCTACGGGCCTGACTGTGAGAACTCTGCTCTCACTTGTATATGCCCAACGGTTTTAGCGTCTCTGTTTCTAGACGGCTTCACAATTTCTCCTGTTCTGCTACCATTCCTCGTTTTAATAGCAGATTTCGAACCACAGGGTTCTGTTTTCCTTTCCATTGTTGGACGTTCTGCTTCTGAGTTTTTCAAAATTAAATAATCATGCCTCAAATTCCCTTGCGTTTTTTGGTCTAAAATTGTGTTCCCCCATTCGTTCTGCCTCATTTTTTCCAAATTTTTTAGAGGAAAACAATCCCTTGAAACAATTTGTCTTTTGTTGGCCTACAAAATTAAATATCCAGAGAATTTTTTTCTCTTACGTGGCAATCATGAATGTGCTTCAATTAATCGAATTTATGGATTTTATGACGAATGTAAAAAAATTTTTTTTTTGGAATTTTTAAATTTTTTTTCGTTTTAAGGCAAACGCCGTTATAATATTAAACTTTGGAAGACTTTTACGGATTGTTTTAACTGCCTACCCGTTGCTGCAATAATTGATGAAAAAATATTCTGTTGTCATGGTGGACTTTCTCCAGGTTCCTTTTTTTACTTTCTTTTTAACATTCGCGGACAAAAAAGTTTTTCCGGACAAATTAATGTTTGCGGACAAATCCATTTTTGCGGACAAAATTAATATTTGCGGACAAATCTAAATTTGCGGACAAATCAATATTTTGCGGAAAAATCCATTTTTGCGGATTAAAAATTGCGGACAAATCAATATTTACGGATAAAAAAATTTTTGCGGACAAATCCATTTTTGCGGACAAAAAAATATTTGCGGATTAAAAATTGCGGACAAATCCATTTTTGCGGACACATCAATATTTGCGGACAAAATATTCAGCAATTTTTTTTTGTGCGCAAATTCTGTCCGCAGAATACAAAATTGTAATTTTTCTCTAAAGATCTTCAATCAATGGAACAAATACGCCGGTTATGTCGACCAACAGATGTGCCAGATCAAGGCTTGTTGTGTGACCTTCTTTGGTCTGATCCAGATAAAGATGTTAGCGGTTGGGGAGAAAATGATCGTGGAGTTAGTTTTACTTTTGGCCCCGAAGTTGTTTCTAAATTTTTGCACAAACATGATCTTGATCTCATATGTCGTGCACATCAGGTTTTTTTTTGAAAATTTTGGGAAAAATTTTATAACCCGCCGTTTTAAGGGTCTGTATCCCGGGGTACACCCCGTTATACCGCGAGCCCAATATACCGCCGTGCTATAACTTCGTTCAAAATTGTCAAATCCGGGAGGCCCTGGTATGGTTCGATTCAGCTCGTTGAGGCGCATCGAACCATACCAGGGCCTCCCGGATTCGACAATTTTGAACGGAGTTATAGCTCGGCGGTATACTGGGGTTGCGGTATACTGGCCTGCTCCCGTATCCCGTCTTAAGGTTAAGCCCGGAAGTTGATTTTGGTGTCATTCGACACAGCTCGACGAGGTCTATAACCTGTAAGACAGACTGACCATTTTTAACACTTTGAGGAGGAAAGGGGGAAAGGGTACGAACGCAAGAATTACCTGTTAAACCCCCAAAAGTTGACGAAATGTCAAACTAGGAAAAGACGCCGCAATTTTTCGCCTTCCAGAGTTTTCCTGGGCCTGGGTTTTTCCTGTACCTAAAGTCTAGGCCTATGCATTTTTTGATTTTCTTGGGGTTTTCCTGAACTAGAGGCCCAGGGCTGGCCCAGGTTAGTGTTTTGCCGGTAGTTCCGGTAGGCCGGAAGTTCCGGGATTTTTTGTTTCCGGATCCGGATCTAGTCAAAATTTCAATTCCGGTCCGGCGAAACACTTGTTTAGGTCAATAAATCAAACCCAATTTTGTTGGAAATTTTTTTATTTTTTTTAAAGGTTGTTGAAGACGGATATGAATTTTTTGCAAAGCGCCAATTAGTGACTCTATTTTCTGCCCCAAATTATTGTGGTGAATTTGACAATGCTGGATCTATGATGGTTTTTTTTAAATTTTTTTGAACTTAATTTAAAAAAATTTTTTTTAGACTGTCGATGAGACCTTGATGTGCTCTTTCCAAGTAAATTAAAAAAAATTTTTTTGGGTAAATAGCTGGTGCCTAAGAAATTTGGGGAGTACTTTGGTTATTCAAAATAGACCCGAAAACCTCGTGGGCGATTTTTTTCCGCATTAGCAGGGAACATGGAATATTTGTTTAGGATAGGTAGGTGTATCTCATTGTCAGTCTCTCTAGCTAAACAGAAAAACCCGAAGATTTTTGATTTGGTTTTGTCTATTCAGTTTTCTGTGTTAATTGGAAGTCCAAAAATACCAAAAAATCGTGACGGGGTTCGGTTTGGAGGTTTCACTATTTTCTTGGATCGGGGTTTCATGTCGGAAAAAAGTCAGGATTCAGGGTAACCCAATCCGTCCCTAATATCCACACTATAGCTTATTAGTTCGGAACTGAGCTGAAGAATCGTTGATTTTTTTATTCGCTTCTTCGGTCCAGTTACAGATAGGTATCTCTTAGGATTTTTTTTATTTTTTTTTGGGTTTTCCTGGGCCTGCTGGTTTCACAAAAATGTGTAGGCAGTAGAGATCGAGCAGGCCTGGACCAAGGCCTGGGTTTTTCCTATACCCAGAGTCCATGCCCAGGCATTTTTTGGCCTTCCTGGGTTTTTCCTGGGCCTGGGTTTTTCCTGGACTACAGGCCCAGGATCCGGCCCAGGTCAATAGATCAAACCCGGAACCCAGGAACAGGCCCAGGCTTTTCAAAAATCTCGATCTCTAATAGGCAGCTCTCTAACCCTTATATTTTTTGTTAATTTAATTAAAAAAAAATTTACTTTCAAGATACTTAAACCATCAGACAAGAAGTCTAAATTCCCTTATACTGGTGTAGGTCAAAATCGACCAGTTACTCCACCTCGGGCAGCGCCAGCTGAACAAAATAAAAAGACTAAAAAGTGATTTTTTAATAAAATAATTGTGTGTTGTAGGTGTTTCTTTTTTGTTTAGAGTTCGTGGCTTTTTTGATTCGGGCTGGTTGAGTTTCCAAGGGGTTTTTTGTTGTAGCCTGACAGAGACGGTGGATTTTCAGGGTTCAAAACTAGGGTTGGAACTCGAACCCGAATTTAGCGATCCTAACTACCGACACTGAACTTTTCGATTCCGAACTTTTCGATCCTGCAAATTTATGTCCGCAAATTTTTTGCAGACAAAATTTGCGGACTAGGGTCGGAACCTGAACTTTCGACCTTGACTACCAGCACCGAATTTTTCGACTTCGATCCTGCTAATTTATGTCCGCAAATTTTTTTGCAGACAAAAAATTTGCGGATGTGGGTATATTGGTTATAGGCGGAAATCTTGAGTCAAAAAGTTTCGATCTCGAACAACTCCTAACTTTTCGACCCCCGGAACATTCTCACGTCGGCCTAGTCCGACTTTGACGAGTTCTCTCCTCTCTCCTGCCCTTGTTGTCCGAACTCTAGAAAAGTGTTTTTATATAAATATTTTTTTTATATATTTTCCTACCCTCTATCTTTTTTTTTATTTTTTTTTCTTCTTACAATCACACACACACACACCTCCTCTTCGAATTTTTTTTCTTAATTCTTGTCTTTTTTGATATATAACAACAAAAACAAATCCCTTTCTTATGTCTCCTTTATTAAAAAAAAACGCTTAAAAATATAACGAAGGAAAGGACGAAAAAAATGTTTAGAATAAAAAATGTTTTTTTTTGAAAAATTTTTTGGAGGGCATGCCATTTTACTTTTTTTTATTTTTAGTCTGATTAAGTGAGTATTTGGACTTTGTCCGCAAAAAAATGTCCGCAAAAATCAAAATAAAATTCAAACCTTTCGAAATTTGCTAGAAAATTTTTTTTCCATGTCTAGATCATTTTTTAATAAAATTTTTTAAATTTGTCCGCAAATAAAATTGCGGACAATTATATTTTTTGCGGACGACTCATTTTTACGGTCAGATTATTTTTTAATTTGTCCGCAAACTAATTATAAGTAAGATTTCGCCTCTATGAAACTAACTACATAATTGTAAGATATAAATTTTTCTTGTTTGTCTGAAAAAAATTTGCGGTCATTATTTGCGGATTTTTAAATATTTTTGCGGACAAAATTAAAATCACTTTTATTGGTCCATTTTTCGTAGAATTTTTTTTCTTAGACACTTGAGCCATTCTTACTCATTTTCAGTTTAGATTTGAATCTAAAAAGGTGACATGGCATGCCATTTTTTTTGTTTTATTTTACACATAAATGCATCTGCTGCATTAATATCTTTAAAAAAATTTTTTTTTCGAATTTTTAAAATTTTATTTATTTATTAAAAAAAGCAAAAACTAGAGATCTCTTCAAAATCGCAAAAAGAATTCTCAAAAAATGTCAACAGGAGTGCTATCTTTTGTTAAGGGCATAGATTTGTCTTCAAATGATTTTTCTGGTGATCGTTTCCCAAATGAAGTTGTTGCAATGACACAAGCAACTTGGCTAAAATTGAATAAAACACAATTGGAAAGGGTGCCTGATGTGCTGTCTAATTTAAAAAATTTGGAGCACCTTCAAATGATTAATAATAAATTACAGGTTTTTTTTAAATTTTTTGGGTTTTGGGTTGGAATTTTAGGGGCTTGATAGACTAATTTTTATTAGACGAGAAATCCGCATTTTTTTGTCCGCAGATTAATGGATGGCCCAACTTGCGGATTTTAAACGTGCGGATTTTAAATCGTTAACAGATTTTTGCTAGCTTTTGTTTGCAGTTTTGCGGTTTACTGGAATATACATAGAGTCTGCAACAGACTTGCTGACATAACTAACTTACGGATTTTTAAGGATTTTTACTTCAAACCCCCCTGAAATTTACGTAATCCGCAATTGCGTGCAGCCCTGAGCAGGAACCTACTATGGATAGTCTCTTTCGGTGAACTCGAAAGCAAATTCCAAATTCCTTAACATATAAGTTTTACTAAATTCCTTTTTATCCGCAAAAAAAAAACTTGCGGACACAATTTGCGGACTTTTTTTTAAGCCGACCTAGGGTTTTAAGACCAGTTATATTTCCTAACTAGGGTTGGTCCCCGACCCCGACTAACCCCGACCCCGACCCCGAACCCCGACATTTTTTGACCTAAAACCCCGACCCCGACATTCCCAACCCCGAAAACCCCGACCCCCGAAAGTTCGACCCCGACGACCCCGAACCCCGAAAAATTTTTATGCCCCCGACTCAAACTGCATTAATTAACTAGAGATCGGAACGGGATCGGGACTTTGATGCTAAATATATGAAGGAAAAGGGAAAGGAATATTTATATTTTCTCCTGTTTCCTTTTGTTGGTCGATGGTTGAGTGGTTAGGTTAACTGACTTCAGCCATCTAGCTATTTTGATAGGAATGTTGTTCGAATCCAGGGATGAAAATAAGGCTGAGAAAATTTTTCTTCTCAAAAATAAATATTTTTAAACTATGATCTTGATTTTAAATTTGCAAATTTATTTTTTTAAATATTTTAAACTTGAAACAATATTAAAAATTTTAAACTAGTCATGAATTTTTCAAAATTTTCGCCTGCGGTGCAGAAAATTGAAGAAATCTGTCTCTTGGCTTTCCAAAATTCTCAAAATTTTTGCCTGCGGCGCTAGACTCAATGAAGGGATACAGAGGCTTTAGGAGAAATTGATGGATAGATGGATTTCTCCCGTTATCCTTGCAACTCCCCGATATCCCGTCAAATCCTTCTAAATCCCATTATATCCATCTTAATCCTCTGATATGCCTTCATATCCCCTCAATCCCTTTACATAAGAGGTGGAGTAAGAGTTACCTTGTGGGTTTGGGGATTTTGGGGATTATGAAGGATAACTTGGATAAAGTACTTCTTGCGCCTTCAACTTATCACGAATTAGATACAGAAAGTGAAGATAATGAAGATTAAGTTGATTTTTTAATAAAAATGTTGATTTTGAACAGTAATTTTGGATAAAAATGCTGGATTTTGTAAATTTTCACTTCAACCCCGACCCCGACCCCGAACCCCGATATTATTTTCAGCCCCGACCCCGACCCCGAACAATTTGAGCAACCCCGACCCCGACCCCGACTTTGTCAACCCCGAAAACCCCGACCCCCGACTTTTCCAACCCCGAAGGCTCGGGGACCAACCCTATTCCTAACTTTAACAAAAAAAAATTTTTTTGCAGAATGTCCACGGTGAATTGTCTGATCTACCTCTTTTGAGATCTGTGGTAGTACGCAAAAATCAAATAAAAACGTCGGGTGTTCCAACAGATATTTTCCGAATGAAGGATTTGACAATTATTGATTTTGGTGATAATTTATTGAGGGATGTCCCTTCCAATTTGGAATATGCAAAATGTGCAATTGTTTTAAATTTACGTGGTAACAATATTCAAAATATACCAAATCAGGTTTTTTTATTTTTTGAGAGTATTCTGAGATTTGCGGATTGTCCGCAAAAAATTTTTTTGTCCGCAAAAAATTACGGTCTGACCTCGTAATACCAAAACGACGAAATGTCAAATGCCTACCAAATAAATACCAACTTGTTAACAACCTTTAACTGATGTTTGAACTACCTTTCCTCGTCGTTGAAATAACCTCTCCCCCGTAGTTGGAACCACACATTATACTTTATTAGTTTGGCATTATGCCGTCATCCCTGCAATTTAGAATTTCGATGTTTTGGCATTCTACGCTACGTCCCTTTCATGACAGCTAAATTGTTTAGATTTTATCCGTAAACAATCCGTGTGCCTCCATGTCTTAAAGTTTTTTGTCCGCAAAAAACTTGCGGAAAAAATTTTTTGCGGACAGAAAATTTTGTCCGCAAAAAACTTGCGGACAAAAAATTTTTTGCGGACAACTCAAATTTTTGCGGACAACTTTTTTAAAACCTCTTATTTCAGATTTTTTCCAATCTAATCGATCTCATTTACCTCGATTTGAGCAACAACAATCTTGACAGTCTTCCCCCACAACTTCGACGCCTAACTAGTTTACAAGTATTGAAGTTATCAAATAACCCATTAACTCATTTTCAATTTAAACAAGCACCAGGGTATGATTTTTTTATCTTTTATTTTTAAAATTTGTCCGCAAATTTTTTGCGGACAAAAAATTTTATTATAAAATTTTGCGGACATATCTGAAAATTTTTTTTCGGACAGATTTTAAAAAATTTCTCTATGTCCGCAAAATTTGTCCGCAAAAAATTTGCGGACAAATTATTAAATTTTAAAAATTAAATTTTATTTTTTAAAGTTCAACCAAACTACGAGTAATTGAATTAAAAAATACTCACAGAACTCTACAAAATTTGACGCTTAATTTTGAGGAAGTTCAAAACCTACAGGTTTATTCAAAAATTTTTTTTGTTTTTACCCATGAGAGGTTTTTAAGAGTTTGCGGATTATTTAAAATTTCAATAAAATTTGCGGATTTTTCTTGCGGACTTTTATTTGCGGACTTTTTCTAATTAATGGAATTTTGCCCGCAAATTTTTTTGCGGACAAATTGAGAAAGTTTTCTTTTATCCGCAAAATTTGTCCGCAAATTTTTTGCGGACTGTTAAAAAAAATTCTCCTTATGTCCGCAAAATTTGTCCGCAAATTTTGTCCGCAAATTCATATTTTTATTTTTGCGGATTTTTAAAAACATCTCGGATAACTTTCGAATTTTTCTGCCTCTACAAGTGTCAAATTTATTTGATTAATGTTCTTGACGTTTTTTTAAATTTTATTGGTTAATGTAAGCAATACCCTCTTTTTTAAGCCTATTCCTTTATGAATGAACGCCCACGCTATTTTTTAACAAAAAAGTCTCATGTTGCTTTAGTTGATCTTTAATGTTTTGTGTGGTTTTTAAGGGAAAAGGGAAATGGCATGAATGTAATTTTTGAAAAAAAAAATTTTTTGGGAAATGAAAGAAAAATATTGGGAAAAGGACAAAAAAAGGGGGAATGTTAAAGGGCAGGAAATAAAAATAGGACATTTTAAATATTACCAAAAAATTTTTTTTTCTGTTTAAGACAATAGGAAAAATGGCCATCTTTTATTAAAATTGAACTTCATTTTTAGATAAGGCTGAAAATTTTTTTTTTGCATTATACTGAGGGGATACCTTAAAAATTTACTTTAAATACAGGTGTCGCTTATTTGTTAGGTAGTTGCTCAACTCAGTTTTTGTGAAATTTTTTGGGAAATCCGCAAGTTTTTTGCGGACAACAATTTTTTTTATTTTGTCCGCTATCTTGAGGGGTATTCAATAATTTGAGGGGTTTTTAGTTTTGGAGGTATTTTATAAATTAAGTAAATTCTTGGTTGTGTCCGCAATATTTTGTCCGCAAATTTTGTCCGCAAAAATTTTGCGGACAAAAAATTCTGAAATTTTTTTTAATTTTAAAGGAATTAAATCTTGCAATGAATGAATTAACAAAAATTCCTGAATCAATTTTTTCTCTCAAAAACCTTCGAAAATTGGATCTTAGTTTTAACAAATTAACAAAATTGGATTTTGTAGAAGGAACCTGGCCAAATTTGGAAACTTTTAATTTATCTGGAAATGATTTGGAAGCTTTACCTTCACAAATAATTGCTTGTGTTAAATTACAGAGATTATATGCAAATTATAATAAATTAAATTTTGAAGGTTTGTGAATTTTAAAATTTTTAAAAAATTTTGTCCGCAAGTTTTGTCCGCAAAAATTTGCGGACAAAAAAATTTTTGCGGACAAAATTTTTTTTTAATTTTTTGATAAAATGATAGCCATGTGAGGAAAAATCATTTTTAATGCCATAAAATAATAATCGATGAAAAATTTTTTTGATTTTGTTATTATAATACTAGGTAATCGTGAGAAAAAGAGTCTAAAAATCATTTTTTATTCTTGTTTGTTTCTTCACGGAAAATGAACAATTAAAATAGAACGTCCAAAATAAGTGATTTTGATTGAATAAAATTAGAATAGTAGTATCTTAAAAGAAAAATAATCGATTTTTATTTTGAAAGAAGTCTGCAAGTTTTTTGCGGACAAAGATTTTTTGTCCGCAAAAAAATTTGCGGACAAAAATTTTTTTGTCCGCAAAAAATTTTTTTTTATTTTTAAAAGGTCTACCAGCCGGTTTTGGTAAATTAATGCAACTTCAAGTTTTATTTTTATCTCACAACAATTTGGAATTAATTCCTGAAGGTGTTGGAAGGTGTGTAAAATTGAGAAAACTTAAATTGGATAATAATCGGTTAATAACTCTACCAGAAGGAATTCATTTACTTCCAGATTTGAAGGAATTGGATCTTCGAAAGTCTGTGTTTTTTAATTTTTTAACATAGAATCCATTGGATTTATTTTTAGGAAAAATCAGAAAGTTTTGTCCGCAAAAATTTTTTTGTCCGCAAATTTTTTGCGGACATTTTGACATTCTTAGGCTACATTTTTGTGTTTGGAACCTAAGCCTAGGGTTGAAGAATCTGGATTCGAAAAAACCCTTTTTTGGTTTGGTTATCGAATCCGCATATCCAGGGATTTCTCTGGATCAGGCAGCCCTACTTGTGGGCAATTGGTTTTGGAAAGGATTACAGGATAATTCCAGATCCACAGGCTGTAAATCTTGGACTTTAAGAAATTTTACGGAACCCACCTATATACTTGAAATTCACGATAAATTGATTTCTTTTTTTTTAATGTCCGCAAATCTCTGTCCGCATTTTTTTGCGGACAAAAAAATTTTTTTAAATTTTTTTTTAATTTTTTAGCAATCCAGACCTTGTAATGCCACCTAAACCAAGTGATAAACAAAAAGCTTTGGCTTTCTACAATATTGACTTTTCTTTACAAAATCAGGTTTTTTGAGGCCTACATAAATTAATTTAAAAAATTTCAAGTTGAGAATTGCTGGGCAAACAACTACATCAGCTACCACCCTTTCTGAAAAAGATATTAGTAGTGGTGGGGGACCAAAAGATGCTGCTCAACGAAAAAAAGAATTTATAAGGAGAAGAAGGCATCAAGCAGATCAGGATAGTGCTTCGAAAGTTATTCAGGTTTTTTTTGAAAAAAAAAATTTTTTTGAGGAGGGGGGGGGGTTAAAATTTTTTGAAAATTTTTTTTTCAATTTTTTGAGGGAGGGGAGGGTGGTTGAAAATTAAAAAAAATCTTTGCGAAAATTTTTTTTGACTTTAGGGAATGTCTAAAGTAGCAAAAGATGCATTTGATAAAGGCCAATCTATTGAATTAAATGATGAAAATGATGCTTCTGCACTTGGTCAAATTAGTTGGAAGGTTCGTATTTAGTTGGAAATTTTTTAGTAGTACTGTAATAGTAAGAGAAAGTAGGTAACTCATTAGAAGAGGAATTTTATGGAGGGGAAGACCAAGCAGTTTAATTAATTTTTTTAAAAAGTTGATTGTCTTTTAGGTGGCGATACCTTTCTTTCTTGTCACGAAAATCGCCTTAAAAGATTTTTTAAAAATTTATTGACTCTTAAAATATTATTTAAAATGTTTATTTAATGTTTTATTTTATTTACTTAATTAAAAAATATCAATTAACCATGGGAGGATTCGAACCCATGACCAAAATGATTTTGTAGTCAGCGTTCTTATCCACTTAACCAAAAATAAAAATTTTCTCCTATGGTTCCAGGGTCGATCCCCTTCAATTAAAAATTTTTTTAAGGAAAAATTGGCAAAACAGAAGCCTCGCCTCGATTATTCAGACGTTTTTGATGATGAAATTGGTTCCTGCGATAATTTGTGGATGTGGGAAATTGAAAATTTTTATCCGGCATTAATTGACCCTCGAGAACATGGACAATTTTATGAAGCTGATAGTTATTTAATTTTGAAAACAACACGTGAACCCAGTGGAAGTTTAACTCATGCAATATATTATTGGATTGGGGAAAAGACGAGTTTGGACAAGGTTCTTTAAAAAAGATTTTTTGGGTTGGTCAGTTGGTTTAGGGGCGAAAAATACTCGATTATTCAGACGTTTTTGACGATGATCCAAACCCTGCCTTGGGGTTATTCCCTATAAATGGAATTAAGGATGCTATTTAGGGGTGAGAAAAAATTGGGAGTGCGCCAAAATTTTTGGCGTTTAATTTGGCCTTCTTCGGAACGCAAATTTTTTTGAACCTATGTTCTATTTTTGCATCGCCTCAGGCGAAAATTATGAGAATTTTGGAAGGTCGTAATCGAAAAAGTGAAATTTTTTTGATAATCATTCTCACAATTTTTGCCCCCTCACTCATTCCTTAGCCCCTGGATATTCCTTATCCCAGGCAGGGTTGTTGGGCCAGATTACCCGATACCAAGCCTTTTTTGATAAGGTTTTTCGTGCCCTAGGTTTGGGTATCGGTAACCCGATGCATCTGTGGTATGCCAATTTCGTCTTTTGCCTTTCGCCGAATTATTTCGTCTTTAAAATCAGTGTTTTTTTCAGGCAATGTGTGCAGCTGTTCACGCAGTAAACCTAAGAAATCACCTTGGAGCATCTTGCAGGTTTTTTTAAATTTTTTTTTTGCAAATTTTTTATTTTTTAAGAACAATAAGAGAAGAAATGAACGATGAATCTGATGAATTTTTGGAATTGTTTAGTGAAGAAATTGTAAGGAGGTTTTTTTTAATTTTTGTGGATGTTTATTGAAGGGCTCAGGCAGGGTTGTTATTGGGTCGTTCTGTATGTAACGTTGTTTTCTTATTTTTTTGGGGTAGTGCGAAACTTGCGGACCGACTTTTGCGGACCATAGGTTTAAGTTTTTGTTTTTCTATAGTAACTTTGTCCAAGCTTGTACAATCACGATGATTTTGATGTCATTCGACTCAGCCCGTCGAGCTCTTTCGAATGAGCTATGTTTTGAGAAATTCGTCGGGTCCGCAAGTTTCGGCCTGCCTTTTTCGAGTTTCGGTTTGTTTAGTGTATGAACAGAGTTCTGTGGTTTTTTTTAATTTCGAGTCTTCTTTCGAAACAGCTTTGTTTCGTTATGAAAAAAGTTGGAGGATCTTTAGGGATTTAATATTGTATTGTTATAAGGCAATAAAATTGCGTGTCGGGCTTTTATGAATTAGGACGCCAAAAAATATAATTTTTTTTTAAAGATTTATTTTGACGGTGCAAAAATGCAATCAGGATTTTATGTGGTTGAAAAAGCTCCTTTTGTTAAAAAGTTTGTAATTTTTTTAATGAGTTGTACCTCATTTTTAAATATACTACCTCTCATTAGGGCCAAAAAGTGACTATCTTTATAGGGAGGATATATTAGTTAGGAGGTCTCTTACAAGGACGTAGCCGGTAGGGGCTTAGGAGGCTAGAGCCCCCCTCTGTAATGGGGGAGGAAAAATAACGCCAAAATTTTGGCGCACACCCCCATTTTTAGCACGCCTGAAATCAGATCCAGGCTAAGCCCTTGTAAGAAGGATACCTTAGATAGAAGGGTCCTTTATACAAAGGGTACCTTAAATAGAAAATATCTTATAATGAGGGGTATATTAAATAGATGGTTTCGCTTAACTCGATTTGAAAAATTTTTTAAATTTTTTTTCATTTCAAGGCTCTATCGTGCATATATTAACGGACCTTCAGTAGAAATGGAAGCTGTGCCGCTTAGCCCAGAATCTCTCGACCCTCGTTTTGTTTTTTTGTTGGATGCTGATAAAATTATTTGGATATGGAGTGGATCGCGTTCTAGGGTTTTTTAATTTAATTTTTAATAAATAATTAGAAAATGAAAATTTTGCGGACATTTTTTGCTGACTTTTTGTTGCATCTTTTTTTTGCGGATTAATTTTTTGCGGACTTTTTTTTGCGGATTTTCTCTTGCGGACATTTTTCTTGCGGACTTTTTTTTGCGGATTTTTTGCGGATTTTTTTTGCGGACAATTTTTGCGGATTTTCTCTTGCGGACTTTTTTTGCGGATTTTTTTTGCGGATTTCTTCTACTTTTTTTGCATATTTTTTGCGGACGTCTGCAAAAAAGTAGCAGAAAATACCACAAAAAATCCGCAAGATTTGTCCGCAATAAAATTCGCAAAAAATGTCCGCAAATTTTTTTATGGACCCTAAGCTTAAAAAAATTAATTTAAAAATATTTTTTGCAGGTAACATTCTCAAATAAAGTTCGTTTGTTTGCTGTAAAAATGAATAAAAGAGATAAAAAAGGAAAAGCAGAAATTGAATCTTGTAATCAATTGAAAACACCTGATGAATTTTGGGAGGCTTTAACAGGTTTATTTTTTATAAATTTTAGAGAAGCCCCTCCTACCAAGGTCTGTTTTTTTTTTGTTTTTGTTAGCCTGAGCGAGACGAGTATTTTATAAAATTTGATTTTCGGAGTTTAGCCCGTAAAACTCGGCCCAGGATTTGTCTGAAAAGTTCTGGCCATTTCTTTTGTCCGCAAAAAATTTGCGGACAAAAATTTTTGCGTAGTTTTGGACTACTCACTCATTTTCGTGTTTACTCCCAAAATTGGATAAGCCACCATGTTTAATGTTTAAAAAATTTATTTAGGCTCCAAAACAAAGCCAGAAGAACCAATATTTGAACATATCCCAGAAGATCACAAGCCTGAACGTAAAAGATTGTACGAAGTACAGCTTGGAATGGGTTATGTAGAATTGCCTCAAATTGAATTGAAAAATGATATTTTGTACAAGGAAATGTTGAAACCTAAATGGTTAGTTTTTTTTTTATTTTAAAGGGGTTTATGGTGCCATGACATGGATTTAATTGTTCTAGAACTAGGCATATTGGAATTCTAAATAATATTTTTGCGGACAAATATTAGTGGACAGACGTTTCCCTACATAGTTCTGCTGCCAAATTTTTTTGTTGAACAAACATTTTTACGGATAAATTTTATGGAACAAAAAAACAGACAGACATAAATGTCTGCGAGCAGATATATTTTAGGACAAAAATCTTGCAGACAAAAATCTTTGCGGACAAATAACGTTTTTGCGGACAAATAATATTTTTGCGGACAAAACTTGCGGACAAATGTTTGCGGACAAAATTTTTGGCGAACAAATTAGATATTCTATTTTTTAAGTCTGATGAGAAGATTACCAACAAATATGATTTTTTTAGTTTCATTTTTGTCCGCAATATTTTTCTGGAAATTTATTTTTTCTAGAATTAAGATTAATCATGTTTTTTCAGTGTATTTATACTTGATTGTACTTCTGAACTTTTTGTTTGGATTGGGAAAAAAGCTAGTAGATTATTAAAAATGGCTGGACAGGTTTTTATTTTTTGTGAAAATTTTTTGCGGACAAAAAATTTTGTCCGCAAATTTTTGCGGATTGTCCGCAAATTTTTTGCGGATAAAGATTTTTTTCTAAAAAAATTTTTCATAGAAAATTGCAACAGAATTTCATCAAATCATAGAAAGACCAGAATTTTGTACAATTTGTCGTGAAATAGAAGGAGAGGAATCGACAGTTTTTCGTTCAAAATTTTCTTCTTGGGATGATATTGTGCCTTTTGATTTTACAATGACTGCAGATACTGTTCAGAGAAGAGGGGCTGATATTAAGGTTTTTGAATTTTTTTATAAAAAATATGAGAGGTGGGGATGTCAAGGGTTGAGAAAAATTTGGTTCGCGTTTCGCATTTTGGATCTATCAAAAAATTCTGGGTACCGAGTAACCAGTAAACATCCCTAAGAGGATGGGAGAACATAGCTCCCGTGGTCTATATAAAAAATGGTCTTATACATTTAATGGATAAGTGTAATGGATGTTATCAAGTGCTACTATATGCAGTTAACTTTCCCAATTTCAATACGTTTAAGTTTAGTCCGCAAAAAAATTTTTTTGTTTTGCGGACAAATTTGTGTCCGCAAAAATTTTGAGAGGAAATATTGATAAACGAGACTGATTTTTATTGAGCAAAAATTTTTTTCTAAGGTGATAATGGAAAGAGACAAAATGAAGACAGATTTGGTAGCCTTATTTCTTGACCGTTTGCCAACTATGCCACATGAAGAAGCTGACCAATTAATTGAAGATTTTAATTTGGATTTGGAAGTTATTGAATCCTTTGTTTTGGTATTTATTTTTTAATTTAAGAAATTTTTGGGTCTGTCCGCTAATTCTGAAAATGTCCGCAAGTTTTGCCCACGAATTTTTAAAATGTTTACAATTTTTGTCCGCAAATCTAAAAATGTCCGCAATTTTTTCCACAATTCTAAGATGTCCGCAATTCATAAAAAATGTCCTCAAATTTAGATATCTCAAAAATATCCGCAATTTCTGTCCGTAACTTTCAAAATTGTCCGCAATTTTTTCCGTGCATTTTAAAAATGTCTGCAAGAAAAATTTGGTTCGCTGTTAACTTGCGGACTTTGTGGACTTTTTTGGGACAATAAAGGAAAAGGACTAAATTTTTTTTAAAAATTCTAAAAAAAATTTTTTTAGGAAGGCAAAAAATTCGTTCGACTCCCAAAAGAAGAATTGGGTATTTTCTATACAATGGATTGCTATGTTTTTCTATGTCGTTATTTTGATTATAATGAAGAATTGAGTGAAAATGGAAGTAAAGGAAGTGTTGAGGTTTTTTTAATTTTTTAATTAGTCTTACTTCAAGATAACTTCTTAAGACCCAAATGTCCGCAAATTTAAAAAAAAAAGTTTGCAAAATTTGTCCGCAAGTTTAGAAATGTCCGCAGGCTTTTACCCACGTATCTAAAATTTATCGGCACGTATTTTCCGCAAATTTGAAAAAATGTCCGCAACTTTTGTCCGCAAATTTTTTATGTCCGCAAATTTTTTTTATTTATGGCTTGTGATCCTTATTGAGTTGTATATTTTTAGAGGGGATATTTTATAGGGAGGTCTGATTTTAAAAAATAAAAATATTTTTTTCAGGGAGGAAATGGAAGAGGAGAAGAATCGGAAGAAGAGGAAAAAGAAGTTGATTTTAAATGTGTAGTCTATTTTTGGCAAGGAAGGGAAGCAAGTAATATGGGATGGTTAAATTTTACTTTTTCTTTGAAGGTTTTTTTAATTTTTAAGAATTTTAAGATTTCTTAAAATTTCAGAGAAAATTTGAAACCCTATTTAAAGACAAGCTTGAAGTGGTTTGTTTGTATTTTTAATTTAATTTTTTAAATAAATTATAGTCCTTAAAATGAAAAAGTTTACTAGTTGTGGTGGTGGTGTAATGGTTAAGGTGTTAGATTTTTGAGGGGAATGGGTAAAGGTTCGATTCCTTTTGTGGTCCTTGTGGTATGATTAGGCCTGGGTGGTCGGTTAATATTTCAGAAAATTTTTTCAGATTTTTTGGACAGTAAGAAATATTTTTAAAATTTCTCCTGACCCATCCCCTTGAAAAAATTTTTTATAAAATTTTAATTCTTTAGGTTCGAATGAATCAACAACAAGAAAATCACAAATTTCTGTCTCATTTTAAGAGAAAAATTCTTATAAGGCGTGGACGTCGAGAAGCAACACTTAAATTGAATGAACCAGAACTTTTTCATATGAGAGCAAATGGGTAAATTTATAAAAAAAATTTTGGAAAGAAATTCGCAAAAAATTTGCGGACAAAAAAAATTTGCGGACAAAAAATTTTTGCGGACAACAAAAAATTTTTTGCGGACAAAAAATTTTTTGCGGACATTTTTTGCGGATAATTATCCAAAATTTTTTATTAGAAGCAGTATCTGTACCAGAACAATACAAGTCGAATGCCGTGTATCTAGTCTCAACTCTGCTTTTTGTTATATTCTTAGAACGCCTTGTTCTGATGGGGATGAATCCGGTGTTATTTATGTTTGGAAAGGCTCTAAATGTGATTCATATTTTTACAAAATTGCTGAAGAGGTTTTTTAATTTTTTTAAAGTCGGCATTTGATATTTGCGGACAATTTTTGCGGACATACGTCTCTGATTTTTTCTGTTCTTATTTCATTTTCGCCTAGTCACCCACTCGAGTTTTTTGGTAACTTTGTAATGTATGTCTGCAACCGTAAAATCCGCAAAAAAATTTGCGGACAAAATTATTTTTGCTGACGAAATTTTTTGCAGACAACAAAAAGTTTTCTTGACAGAATTTTTTGCAGACAAAAAATTGCGAAAAAACGTTTTTTCGAACAAAATTTGTTTTGATGAATAATAGAGCTTGTTATGCGGAAAATCTAGTCATAGAAATTTGCGGACAATTTTTGCGGACACCAACTAGAGACTTTCTATGTATTTCTCTTTTTAGTTATGATTTTTTTATTCCTATATTCTGAAATTAATTCTGATTTTTCATTTCGAATTTTTCTTCCTTTTGGTTTACTGGGGGGTTGTCCGCAAATTTTGTCCGCAAAAATTTTGTCCGCAAATTCTGTCCGCAAAAATTTTATTTTTTTGGAAAATTAAATTTTATATTATTTAAAAAAAGGTTGCAAATGAACTTGTAAAAAAAGATTTAAAATTGCCCATTGAAATAATTGAAGAAGGAAAAGAGCCCCAATTATTTTGGCAAACCTTGGGAGGAGGAAAGAATAGAAAATATGATAAAAATGCAGATTTTATGCAACATACAAGACTGTTTAGATGTACAAATGAAAAGGGCTATTTTTCTGTGTCTGAAAAAACTGTTGATTTTTGTCAGGTTTCTTTTAATTTTTTTAAATTTTGATTTTAATTCTGATTTTAGAAATTAGAATTCTGATTTTTAAAATCAGAATTCTGATTTATAAAATTTGTTCTGATTTTAAAAATCAGAATTAAAAGTCAAAATTCTGATTTTAGAAAATTCTGATTTTAATTCTGTTTTTTTTCTGATTTTTAAAATCGGAATTCTAATTTTTCTGGTTTCAAAAAATTATTCTGATTTTTTATTCTGATTTCAAAAGTTATTCTGATTATGATTTTTATTTAAATTTTGGTTTCTAAAATCAGAATTCTGATTTTAAAATTCTGATTTTAAATTTTAGAAATTAATTTTTTAGGAGGATCTTGAAAATGATGACGTTATGATTGTGGATGATGGCAATTTTGTTTATATATGGCTGGGAACTGGTATAAACATTTTGTTTAATTTTTTTCTGATTTTTTTCTGGTTTCTTGGCCACAACCTAGTTTTTCTGGTCCGGGTTGTTTCTGATTTTTAAATCATACGGGGTTTTTTTCTGTTCTGATTTTCTTATCCAACTTCAGATTTCTGGTTTTTGAACCATAATTCTGATTTTTTCTGGTCCGGCAAATTCTGATTTTTTTTCTGTTCTGATTTCTGAAATTAATTCTGGTTCCCCTAATATGTACCTAATTCTGATTTATATTCCCAACTTCTGAAATCATTTCTGATTTTTTTCTGTTCTGATTTTCTTGTCAAAATTCTGATATTTATTCTGAATTCTGATTTTTCCCCTTATATAAATTTAAAAAAATTAATTTATTTTAAAGGTGCCAGCGAGGTTGAAATAAAATTGGCCTATAAAGCAGCCCAGGTTTATTGTGGACATATACAAATGAAACAGCCTGAAAGGCCTAGAAAATTGGTTTTTTTTTTAATTTTTTAATTTAAAAATAAAAAAATTTTTTTCAAGTTATTGTCAATAAAGGATCACGAATCTAAACGATTTTCTCGACTTTTCCATGGATGGGGAAAACACAAAATTCCTGCTGGGACTGAAGGAAAATGAAGAAAAGATGAAGAAAGGATGGGTATTTTTTAAAAATAAAAAGGGTACTGATTAGTTATCCTTATGAAATTTTTGCGGATTTTTTTTGCGGACAAAAAAATTTTTTGCGGATTTTTTTTTGCGGACAAAAAAAATTTTTGCGGATTTTTTTTGCGGACAAAAAAAAAATTTTTGCGGATTTTTTTTGCGGACAAAAAAATTTTTGCGGATATTTTTTTGCGGACAAAAAAATTTTTTGCGGATATTTTTTTGCGGACAAAAAAATTTTTGCGGATATTTTTTTGCGGACAAAAAAATTTTTGCAGACATTTTCAACAGCTGACATTTTCAATCAATAAAATATGGGAAAGAATTTGTCCGCAAAAATCAATCCATTAATTTTTGAGACTTTTTTAGAATTATCTCTTTACCAATAATATTCTACTAATCATCCATAACATAGCCTTAATTTTTAATTTTCTTGCCTTTTTTTAATAGAAAAATTTTTGATGAAATAAATTTAATTTTTTCTGTAAATATTTAAAAACTTTTGGACAAAAAAATATTTCAAAAAAATTAAAAATCCTTTTGAAAATTTACCAATATTTGCGGACAGAAATTTGCGGATTAGTAGGTGTCCGCAGATTTTTGTCCGCAAATGTATATCCATAAAATTTGTCGTTATTTGCGGACAAAATTTTTTTTGCGGACAAAAAATTGCGGATTATAGATGTGTCCGCAAATTTCTAAAAATTTACGATATTTGCGGACAAAAAATTGCGGATTATTAATAAGTATCCGCAAATATTTATCCGCAAATTTTTAAAAAAAAATAAAAATTAGAGAATGTGACCTCCACATGAATTTTACCTAGTAAATCACATTCTTTTCTCTCATTACCATTTTCCTATTAAAGGTAAAAATAGTAAGAAGTTAAAAGATTATCAAACAAAAATATGCACAAATGCAAACTTACACACAACTAATTATTAATTTATCAACCCCCTTCGTTCCTCTCTCCCTCCTTTTCCAATTTATCAATCCCCAGTCCTCCACATATTTTTTGCTCTCCTCCTCCCTCCCCCAATTTTTTTGCTCTCCCTCCTCCCCTCTCCTTCATTATAGGTATTTTGTTCTTTGTGTGCTTGCTACCTTTACTACTACTATTTTTAAAAATAACCAAAGATCTTCTTTTCTCTCTTTAAAAATAAATTAATAATAATTATTTTGCAGATAATTGAGCAAATAAATATTTTTTAAGAAAAAGTTTTCCCACAACAGCGCGCCTCCCCCTCCATTATTTTTTGACCTACTTCTTTATCTATTTCATTATTAATTTTTAAAGATTATTTTTTTAACAACACTAGGTTTTATTAATAAAATGATTTTTTGTAAATGCAAACCTTCTAAAAAATATTTTTGTTGGGTAGCGACATTTCGTCCTATTAGAAGAAAAAGTGACATTTCGTCCCACACTCAATTTTTTTGTTTTTTTATTCGAGAAATCCAACAATAAGCTTCTTCTAGTTAGCTTTCCTCGCTGATTGAGAGAGAAAGTAAAGCGGCGAAATAATAGTAGTAGTATGTGTCCTCAAGAATGTCCATCTTTTAGGATCATCTTTTTGTGTGATTTTTTGTTGACCACACAGAGAGCTCCTCTGATCCTTTTTATTTTCTCTAAAATAAAAAAAATGAATGATTTATTTATTATTCCCAAAAAATTCCCATAATTAAATACCCTCAAAAATTTTCTGAATCATTTTTAAAGAAAAGGAGATGAGGATAAATCTGTTTGGATTAATTAGAGGGTTACGTGACTTTTGCGCCGAGAACATTTGCGCCGCGACTCTTGCGCCGCGACTTTTGCGCCGCGACTTATGCGCCGAGCGACTTTTGCGCCGGGGGACTTTTGCGCCGCGACTTTTGCGCCGGGCGACTTTTGCGCCGCCACAATTATTAAAAATATGTGAATAACTGCAGCCAGACTTCAATATAGTAGTCTTGTCGGATAATTGGAAATCTTCGGATATCCGGATCCGACATCCCTACACTATAGTGCATACTACTTTTATGACCCAGACCTAATTCATCAGCTACCGGACCCCTATTGTACTTTCTGAACTTCCTTCATTTCCTGGATAATTTTTTAAACCCAAGGGGTAATCCGATTGTAGTTATTATTTTATTTTTTTTAAATAATGGCGGCGCAAATGTCGCGGCGCATAAGTCGCCAGGCGCAAAAGTCCCGGCGCAAAAGTCGCGGCGCAAAAGTCGCCCGGCGCAAAAGTCGCGGCGCATAAGTCGCGGCGCAAATGTTCTCGGCGCAAAAGTCGTGATACCAATTAGAGGTAGATTTATTTTATTAATGAGACAAAATGGTATATTTTCTTCTATTGGACGAATTGTAAGATTTACTGGTTAGGTGTTCTGTATAGACATTTTGAAAAGTTGGACTTTTCTTTTTTCTGTGTTGACTAGAGAAAGTGAGTTAGAGAAATAGACAAAGTGGCGTATTTTCTTCGTCTGGGCGAAGTGTACGATTTGCTAGTTAGGTGTTTTGAAAAGTTGGACTTTCTTTTTCTGTGTTGACTAGAGAAAGAGAGTTAGAGTGGGGGGACAAACTGGCTTATTTTCTTCGGTGTGGCGAATTGTCGGATCTGCTAGTTAGGTGTTTCGTTTAGATATTTTGTATTTTTGGCGCCTTTTTTTCTTTACTTTTTGTGTTGTCTAGAGAAAGATAAAAATAAAGAGTATTAAGAAAGGCGGAGATCGTTATTTTTTCGCTGTTAAAAAGTTTTCTTTTCTCATTTCTTAGATAAATTTCTTAAATTTTCTTATTAGTTTTTTCTATTAATTCCTCTAAAATGGCACAAAAGAAGGTGACTATTATTGGATCTGGAAATTGGGGTTCAGCTATTGCACGGTTTATTGCGTCTGTTTTAATCTTTTAAACCTTAGTTTTTAGAATCATCGGCAACACCGTTGTTCAACACAGCACTACATTCCAAACGCGAGTGCCGATGTGGGTGTTCGAAGAGGTCTGCTTTCTAGTTTATTTAAGATGTTTACAATCGGGGTTTGCAAAAAAATCGCGTGCTAATTTCTTACCCGTTGTCTTGGTCAAATTCAGGTCCTGAAGTCCGCTGAAACCAGTGGATCTGGAAAACCTGCAAACTTAACTTAAGTACGGGGGTCTGTCTTCTTGGGGATCAACTTCTGAAACGGTCGCCTTATGCCTTTTATCGGACAAAGGCTCCGTTCCTAGTTTAATAAAAAAAATGTTTTGCCATTAGCGAGGTTCGAACCTTTGACCCTTGTTTTTCGAAACCTAAAATTTTCCGACTGAACCAAGAAGTCCATTTCCTTTATTTTTAATTTTTCATGTACATTTTTATTTTTCAATTAAGATGGTTGATGACAAAAAGCTTAGCGAAATTATCAATACTGAACATATCAACGTTAAGTATCTGCCTGGAAAGGTTTTTATCCCTAAGAAATTTCAAATAAATTCTTTTACTTTAGAAATTGCCAGAAAACATTGTTGCCGTTCCTGATCTTCTTGAGGCTACAAAGGTTTGTTTTTTGATATTTGTTTGGTAACCCAAACCAGTTTTTGAAGACGTATTATTCGAGCTATAATGGTCAGATATAAAAAGGAAAATCATTCCAACTGCCGAAATGTCCGATAAAAGTGCCCAAAAATGTCCGCAAAAACATCCCCAAGAAATGTCCGCAAAACTCTTGTCCGCATCTTTTGTCCGCAAAAATGCCTTGTCCGCAATTTTTGTCCTCAACTTTTTTCAATACATTGTGTATCTGGGAAGTATGTATGCTCTGACCATTATGAGACCTTTATAATGACGATATTATGAGTCGGCATAAATATGTCCGGTAAAACTGGTTTGGGGTTGCCCACAAGTACCGGCTTTTTAGTTTATTGGAAGGAATTTTTTAATCTTTAGGATGCTGATATTCTCGTATTTGTCGTTCCCCACCAATTTGTTGAGAAGCTTTGTAATCAATTGAAAGGAAACGTCAAGAGCAGCGCTGTAGCAGTTTCTCTCATAAAAGGACTTTCTGGCAAGTCTACAAGCTCAAAACTTCGTTTAATCTCTGAGGACATTAGCGAGACTCTGGGTATTGATGCTGCGGTTTTGATGGGGGCGAATCTGGCACCTGAAGTGGCTAATGATAATGTGAGGTTTTTTTAAAATATATAAGGGTTTTTTGAGATTTGGACGGAAAAATGATTTTCTTTATTAATTTTATTTTTTTGTTAACCTCTTCCTTAAACTCAACCACCCTAAATACTCAAATTATGAACGGCCAAACTCGGCCCTATTAACCCGCACCACAACTCAATAGAAAGTCGATGGTCCTCTGTCGATTGGTACCAAAAAATTATGTACATTTTTTGCACAGTATCCGATGTTTCCTTATAAGGCCTTTCTGTCCATTATTTTCCTCTAGTCAGAATAAAAGTGCCTATAAGGGATAGCTACAGAAAATGACTCGTAATGGTGAGGCTTCAAATATTTTTTGACTTTGTAGCCTCATATGATCTTTTTTAGGGTGGATTTTGCGATATTTTTAACAAATAAAAATTGTTTTCCACTAGAGGGGTTCGAACCCATAACCCTCTTTTTTCGTGATTTTCCAACTTAACCAAAATTATGATTTTTGTAAATGGCTTGGGATGGGAGTGATTTTGGGTGTTTAAAAATTTATTTTGGGGTTTTAAAAATTTATTTTGGCCATTTCTAGTTAATCTTGAGATTATATGTCCATATAAAAAATGGTTTCCACTGGACGGGTTCGAACCTACAACTCTTCTCTTATTGGAAACCAAACATTTTCCAACTTAACCAAGGGCACGATTTTTAGTAAAAAGACCTGAAATATGAGAGATTTTAGCTTTTTTAAAATTTATTTTGCAAAAAATTCATTTAAAAAAATTTTCAGTTCTGCGAGGCAACAATTGGCAGCAAAAATCTTGCTACAGCAATCGAACTCAAAAAGCTTTTCCACACAGACAATTTCCGTATTAATATTGTTCAAGATTTTCAAACTGTGGAAATTTGTGGGGCTTTGAAGGTTCTTTTAAAATTATTTTCGTTGATTTTATTTTTTTCTAGAATGTTGTTGCGTGTGCAGCAGGTTTTTCTGATGGCTTGGGATATGGAGACAATACAAAGGTTAATTCACTATTAAGTTTTTGTTGTTTTTTTTGAGTGGGGTCGGGATTAAGCTATTTGTTTCTGAAAAAAGTTTCTGAACAACGGACCCAGATTCCGGCCATTTCTGTTTTAAAATTTCGATTTTTGAGGGGTTTTCTATTTTTTGTTTCGGAACAGCTCTGATTCTGCTCCAAAAAACCAAAAATTTATAACGGATAATATTATATCTATTTTTTTGTGTTTTTTCTTCACAAAAAGGAACTTATTTACTTTAACTACCCACCCCATTTATTCGCAAGAAGTTCATCAATCAAACTTAATTTGTTCAGAAAGGTCAACCTTTCTTTCTTCCTTGATGTTACTGTCATGTCCGATGTTCATGCTGTGAAAAAATCGCGGATGGGAGATGGAATAGAACCATCACGGAAACAGCCCAGACCGAAGCACAACCGACTGTGCCACCATCCAACACGATGACGGGTTATTTATTTTCATTTATATTCTTTCTGCAAGTGCGGACACAACAGTTACTCAATTTTCCCTGTGGCATTATTCAATGAGAGAAATTAATAAAGAAAAGATACATTTTTCTTTCCAATTTCACCAAAATAGAAGTTAACGTTCGAATCAATATTCTTATTTTTTCCATTTTAGTTATTATTACCACATGGTTACCATGTACTTTTTTGGTACCATTCTTTTATTCTTGTCTTTTTTACATGAGTTTTAACTTCTATGGCTGTGCTTATTTTGTTTGATAAACATTGAATATGCCACAGGGAAAATTGAGTAACATCGAGGACTCAAATAACGTTCGATTTTTGATTAAACATGGACGAATCAAAAATTCTAACATTCACGACTCAGTATTCTGAATAATTAAAAAGGATGATAACGAATTTAGGAAATCAAGGACTAACCGAGTGGTAATAACTAAAATGGAAAAAATAAGAATATTGATTCGAACGTTAACTTCTATTTTGGTGAAATTGGAAAGAAAAATTTATCTTTTCTTTATTAATTTCTCTCATTGAATATGCCACAGGGAAAATTGAGTAACATCGAGGAAGAAAGAAAGGTTGACCTTTCTGAACAAATTATGTTTGATTGATGAACTTCTTGCGAATAAATGGGGTAGGTAGTTAAAGTAAATAAGTTCCCACAAAAAAATATTTTCAATGGGTGGGGTTCGAACCCGCATCCCCCTTTTTGTATTAACTAAACATTTTCCAACTTAACCAAAGGGCACAATTTAGCTTGAATGCCCTGGCATTTTAATAGTTTTTTGGGTGTTTATTAGCCTTGATTTTAACCATTTTCGTAAATTCCTTTGTAATTTTAAACATTTTTAGGCAGCAATAATCCGTCTCGGTTTAATGGAAATGATGCGTTTTATTGAATATTTTTATCCAAATACTCGAATCAAAACTTTCTTTGAGTCTTGTGGTATTGCCGATTTGGTGACTACGTGCTATGGAGGAAGGAACCGAAAAGTTTGCGAAGCTTTTGCGAAAACTAAACGAGTATATTTTTTTTAATTTTTTTAAAAATAAATAATTGGGGTTCCTAGTGGTTATTGGAATTTCTTATTGCTAGAGTGGGGCCTTAAGTTGTGTATTTTTCTGGACCTTGATTTTTCCTATATTCAGCAAAAATCGAGATTTATATGGAGGCCATATTAGGGACCTTATGGTCTTCTTATTAGACCTACACACACACAAAAATAGGAACAATCATGGAGGGAAAAGGGAGAGGAAGGTGATGAATACTGGAGAATGGGGAACAGGAAAAGTAAGACTATAGAAAATAAAACTAACATTTAAACAAATGGACTGGATAGGGAAATATGTAGAAGAAGAATAAAAATTTTTTTACAATTTTTGAGTGTAAATTTGGAAAAATTTATTTTTTTAGCCATTGTACGAGTTGGAAGCTGAACTTCTCAAAGGACAAAGCGCTCAAGGCCCGTTGACTGCTGCGGAGCTTTATGATGTTATCAAGACACGGGATTTGCTTAAAATGTTTGTTAATTCTTTAATTTTTAAAATTAATTTATTTTTAAATTTTGGGTGGGATCAAATGTCATTTTTGGAAATTTGTGGATTTTTGAGAAATTTTTTTGGAATTTTCTTTTAAAGGCAGTGCTTTCATTGTGAGCTTAGAAATCTGTAAACGGCAGAAAATTTGTAAAAAAATTTTTTCTAGGCCTCAAGAAAAAATTAAAAAAAAATTTTTTAAAGGTTCCCATTATTCGAAGCTGTTCACAATATTTGTATTGGACAAGTGCCTGTTGAGGAATTTATTGTAAAAATTCGAAATCATCCGGAATATGAAGACCGTTCTAATGCTGAATTTCATTAGAGAGATGAAAGGGAGAAGGGTATAATTTAGGAAAAATTTTTTAAAAAATAGTTGAGAAAAGGATAATTTGTTTTGTTTGGTTGTCTACCTCGAGACCTTATATAATATTGAATTTTTATTTATTAGGGTGTAACATAAATAATTAGCCCCCCATGTGGTAAGTGGTTTAAATAATTATTAAAATTCAACCAAATGTTTCCAGACTTCGAATTATATTTTTTTATAATCCTAAGAGAATTGCCTATTTTCTGGCAAAAAATCAGAATCCTAGGATTAGGTTGGCAGGTGTTAGAGGTAAAATAAAAAAACTTGTATTTTTGAAACAAGACAATTTCTTTTTGATTTTTTCTGCATAATTGATGAGTAAGAATAAAAATTTAAATAGATTCTGATAGAGCAGAATCTGTTGAATACAACGATATAAGAAATTCCCCTGGAAAACAACTGGCTGATTTTTTAGAGGGTCGCATTTGTGAAATTGGGGCTAATATTAGGCTGTTTTAGGATAACCCTCGCGCGAAAATGCCTAGCGAGGCCAAGCGACCAGATTTTTCGATGGACTCGATTGTCAACTAAAGGCTTACTTTGACAAATAAATTTTTAGGGAAGCTAGGTCCCAAGAGTTATTGAATAAAGTGAATTTAAATAAAATATTTATCTTTAAAATTAAAAATACAATTAAATATTTTTGTAAAGAATTAATGGAAAATTGAAAACTGAAGATGATAGGGAAGATCTGCCTATTGTTTATATAGGGGATTTAATGGACAATAGGCAGAGATTTACACAATAATGAATAGAGAAGTGATATGAAAAATAGTATTAACGAGGGGTGAAAAGACAATAGTTTCCGGAAAAAAGAAGAGAGAATAAAGGGTCAAAGTGGCAGCTTATGGGAAAATAATTTATGACATTGTCTGTCGTGGACAGGTGGAATAAAGGGAAAATTAGAAAGAAATATTTAAATTTATTAATAATTATAATTTCGTGTTCCTTACACGACACTGGCGGCCGCGCGAAGACGTATTTCCTCGCTTCTTTCTTCTTCGTCTTTCTTCTCATCTTTAATTTTCCTCATTATTGTGTTCATGATTATTTCTTCTGTTTTTTCTGATTCGGGTGTTTTTCCTATCATTATTAATACCTGTGCCAAGAATCTTCCAATTCTAGTATTTTTTATATATTTAAGTAGAAAAGGGAGAATATTATCGAATAGCCAAATGTAAGTTATATACAGAGCTACCATTCTAATCCACATTTTTTCAAGATTAATTTCCCAAATTTTTTCAAGAATGCTTGTTAGCGGATTTTTAACTGTTTCTTCGGTGTGTACGTATTCTCCATTTTTTATTGCATTTTCTATTTTTTCCTGTTCAAATTTTTTGTCTATTCCATATGTTTGGAACATTTGGAGAATTTCAATTCTAGGGTCACTATAGTTCTTTATAATTAAATTGTGGAATGCATGTGTTTCAATTTGAGGGAGGTGTATTGGCTTTTGTAGGTCGAGTGTTAATTCATGTATTTGTTTTTCATTTATTTCTTTACTTTTTCCTGTCTTTTGATCAATCCTCAATAATTTTTTCCCAATAAATATAGTTATAAATCTCTTATATGAGCAAGGTGTTTCGCTTGCTTTCTCTACTATAGTTAATGTTTTTGGTTCAAGAAATGCTTTTATTATTTTTTCCTTTAACGTGACATTTACTGGAATCTCTTTGTAGCATTTTTCATTCGGTAGAAATGTGATGTTCTCATAAGGTATTGGAAAGCATGTTCTTGTTTCTAATATTTCATTGGATATCCATTTACCTAAGACATATGGTGTATTCATGATTAACTTAGCTACAATGTTGCTGTCGGTTCCACTTATTAATTTGTTTTGGTGTTCTCCGTTAATATCTTTGGCACAAAGGATACTAGTCAAATGGTTAAATACTTTTTTAACTTTCTCTGTAGAGAGTATTTCAGTGGCTGTTAGTTCTGCGGCTAATTGGTTACTCAAAATTAAACCGCTTCTTGTGTTTTTATTTTCTCGCTTTCTTCTTATTTTTTCTTTTAAGCTCAATATTTGGTATTGCTGCGCTGGTACTGCATAGCCTTGCTCGCTTATGATTAATTCTTTATTACAATCTATTATTTTTGTGGGGTTATTTGTAAATGAAATTCCTATCTCTTTATTATCAGCTAACCAAATTCTACCCATCCAAGTGCCTTTCCATTTCCTAACTCTTGAAAATTTACACATTTTTTCGTTTTTTTCTTTATTTTCTGCTTCCCAAATAATCAGTGAATCATCTTCTAAAAGACAAGCTGCGTTTTCATATCGGCAATGTGAAATATCAACTCCTGGGGAAAATATTGAAGATGAATCTGGTTTAGCGTAAATGCTTATTTTACTTAGGAAACAATTTGATTCGCTTGTTTCTTGATATCCGATTGACCAATAAGAGTATTCTATTTTCGCTTTATTATTTGTATGACTTGTATTTCTGTTTCCAGTTAATTCCCCTAATCTACATTTTGATTTTTTCCATATTCTGTTGCATTCTTCTATGCTTATTTCTTCTTTTCTGTTTGTCGAAAAAATGTGTGGTATGTTTAATAAATCCTTTTTGTATTTGTAATTTGTGCTTAATATGGAGCAATGTGCAGCTGGTATTGGAACAAGGTCTATATTTGGTTGATAGATGTCAAAGCTGTGTGTTGTAGGGAGAGGTGGATTTTCTGTAAAATTCACACAAGGTTGGTGATTTTTCTTTATTCTCCAATACATTTGATTTTTCTGTCCTGGGCATATCATTGGAGATTGTAGGAGACTTCCCGGTAACATAATTGCGAGGATGCAAAAAAGAAGTATATTATCCATAACTTTTCGCTTTTTATGTTTCGCTCTTAGTATGCTACTTTGTTCTTTAATCACCTCGTTTTCTTCATTTCTTGGGATCTCTAGGCTGTATAAATGGTTAGGTGGTCGAATTAATATTTTGCCATTTCCCAATTTTAATTTTATTGATCTGTTTTTGTTATTTTCTATTACTTTTCCAATTTTCCAGCAGCCTTTTGGTAACTTTTCATCATAAATTTGAACTATCTCACCTACTTGCGGGGTTCCTTTTGCCGAAAATTTGGGATTATTATGTTCATCTTTTCTTTCTCTTAACATTATTAGATAATTGATTGACCAGTATTCCCAAAATTTATTAATAATAGTATTGTGTTTTTTCCACTCAAAAACCATTTTTTCAGCCGAATCTGCGTTTGTAAGATAATCTGGGTCCTTTTCTAATAATATTGGTGGAAATCCCTGATGAGCGAACGGGTATGTGAAATCAATCGGTCGTAAAATTATAGTTTCTGGTTCATCGTCTATTTGGATTAATGGTCTACAATTTATGATGGCTTCGACTTCACAAATGAGTGTGTTAAAATCATCATTGTCTATTATTTTTCTTCCTATTGATTTCCTTATATTGGATTTTATCATTCCGTTGATCCTCTCATAGACCCCTCCCTCCCACGGTGCAAGTGGCGTTATAAATTTCCAATTAATGTTTTCTTCAGCGAAATACTTTTGTAGTCCTTCGTCGATTATCTGATCCGGTTTAATTCTTTTCAATGTTTTTTCTGCCAATCTAAAACTGGAACCATTATCCGATAATATATAGTCTGGTCTAGTTCTCCTAGCGACAAATTTTCTGAAAGCATTTAGGAATGCGTGTGTACTGATACTAGTAACTACTTCGAGATGGATGGTGCGAGTTGATAGACAAGTTAATAGCAAGATCCACCTTTTACTGCGTTCTTCGTCAATGTCTTTCACTATTATTGGTCCCATGAAATCTAACCCTGTATTCTGAAAAACTCTAGATGGCGTTATTCGTGATTCTGGTAGTGGTGGCATTTTAGCTAATTGGTATGGTTTAAGTCGCTGGCATTTTTCTAGACAACTTTTTAGAGTATTTTTTACGAGATTTCTTGCTCTAGGTATAAAATATGTCAATTTTAAATTGGCTAATGTTGATTGGAGACCCGAATGCTGTCTTGATTTATGCTCATTTAGTATTATGTGTTTTGTTAATGGATCGTTTCTGGGTAAATATATTGGATTTGCAAAATCATAGCCGTTTGGTAAGTTCTGAAGTCTAGTCTTGCACCTTAAAATGTGATTTTCGTCGTAGAATAAATTTAGCGTTTCTATTTGTTCTGTAGGGAGATTTTCTCGCGCTTGTGCTTGCTTGATTAATAATATTTTAGCAATTTTAATATCGTTCGCATCGAAGTTGCCTTTTATCTTGATTTTAGAGAGCCATGGTTGCTTTATTTTATTTAATTTCGACCAAATAGTTATATTAAGGAATCTAAGTATGAACATAGTGGTGTATATGAGTTTCCAAAAAGAGCTGTATTTCTCAACTCTTGGAATAAAGTCATTTTTCTCTCCTACGTCTACTAATTTGTAACATAACACTGGAGTTTGAGGTTCGGGTTTAATTGTGAATGATTGATTGTTAGGCCAATTCTGTTCATCTTTTCCTAACCATAAAGGTCCTTTCCACCAAAGACTATTTTTAGCTAATTCAGGGCCCGACGAACCTTTACTTCCAATATCCGCTGGATTCTCGTCCGTGGGAACATATCTATACTCGATTTCTTTATTTTGTCTTATTTCCATTACTCTATTATTTATGAAGGTTTCTTTATTTTTACTAGTTTTAATCCAAGAAGTAGCAATTAAAGAGTCGCTCCAGAGTATTGTTTTTTCTATTGGCTGTTTTATCTCATTGGTTACAAAGGAAATAGCTCTGGTTCCTATAAGAATTGCGAGAAGCTCCAATCTAGGGATGGTCAACGTTTTTTCTTTGCCTTTAGGAACAATTCTATTTTTAGCAAAAATTAGGCTTGTATTTGTTTTATGGGGACATGTAATTCTAAGGTATATATTTACAGCGTAAGCTTTCATAGAGGAATCAGCGAAACAGTGCAACTGTAGAATTTCG